CTAGTTCATTCTCCTCCTGGGAAGAATAAGCTTACTCTGAAGGCAGCACATACACACATTTCACTCATAACCATTAACAGATGGCTGTGGATTCCTTCTGTTCCCAGGAATGACATAAGGACTAGCTATGCTGTCCCGTTTCCATCACTGGGAGCTAATCCTGACAGTGACGTTGTACATCATTATTAATAGGTGAAGAAAGAACAGACATAAAGAGAAGGGGAAAGTGGCCTGCCTGAGTCACACAGTGAAGTTAAAACAGTATGCTCCCAGCAACAAACCTCTCCCTGGCTTTCCTACATGAATGCCAGCTCCGTAACTTTGCTCCTTTTTTGTACTTTGGACAATAGATTCGCTGGCTATGGAAGCAGTTCTGAATTGTCTTGGTGATAAATGAAGCAAACCTTCCTTGGTTTGGTATTTTATGATCTTGCTTTTGTTTCCTGCTTGGCAGGAGGCCTCACCATTGAAAATATCTAAATCTTCAGTTTGCCTTCCACTCAGATGTAGCAAAGTACTCTTGATATTGCAGGCTCTTTTGGGGATACTGAGGATGAAGGGGAGAAATTGGAACCTACCTCATCATTCCCACAGGTGAACACTAGATCAATTGGAGCCTCACTGTCTCCTGGAGAACTTTAACTACAAATGCTTGAGCTAAGAGTAGCTAAGAGTATAGCACAATGTTAGAGCACCCGCTGAGCTTGTGGAAGGCCCTGGGTTAAATCCCCCAGCATCACAAAAAAAAAGAATGCCTCAGGGCTTGACCAACTCAGCTTGGAATGTTCCCTCCTCTCCCCAGGGAACCTGGCCCAGGGAGCCCCCTTGAGTTGAGAGGCAGCTGTTCAAAGCCCCTGACACGGAGCTGACAGGCACCTTCTTTGTGAAATGGGAGGTGCCACAGTCTGTTGTCTTTGAGTTTTCCCATAAACACACTATTCCTCCAGTCTTGGCATTTATGGCATGCTGCCTGTTGTCTTCCCTTAACTGCTTCAGATCTTCGCTTCTCATTTCCTCAGGGAGCCACTGGAATGTAGGGAGTTGTGTACAACATAGCCTATTATTATCGCTTCAAAATGCCAGCTTCGTTAGCACACAGTGAATATTCAGTGCATATTAGTTGAACTGATGGAAGTCTTGTAGATGGGAAATCTGACATAATTTCTTACTTATTTGGACAGATGCACCGTGTCCTTTGGAAGCAAAATGATCACATGGGAAAATCCTCATAGAGACAGAAGCCCTGGCTTCTAATCCTGGCTGTGTCCTAAACTCCCATTGTGGCTTGTAGTAAGTCGCTAGCTTTCTCTGGCATTTAATTTCCTCATCTCTGTGAAACCAGGAATGATAAATAAACTTCATGTTAGTGCTGGGTTTGGGCTATTCTGCATAGCAATGGGCAGTCTTTTTCTCATAGGTAAGTGTGAATGCCTTTAAAGAGTGAAAATCGATCCCAGGTTCTGAAATGAAAAACTTGGGTAGAGGGCAAAGTATGTGATTTGGCAAAGGTTCTTTGCATTGTGTGTGTGGAGAGGAGAAAGCTGCTCGCTTCTCATCCATGTCTTGAGACTCTTCCATCCCAGGAATGTCAATCATTTACTCTCTACATGCCTATTCTGGTCTTTTATGAATGAGCTGGTGCAGAGGTTCGTTCAGCTGGATTGCTGCCTGCCCCTCCGTATGTTTCCAATCTAGACTGAAATGCTCATTATTGTATTGGTAAAACCTGTTCAACTAATGTGTTCTGAGGACAAGAACGACACAAGGCACTCAGTTTTTTTTGGGGGGGGGGTGTTGTTGTTTTGCTTTGTTTTTCCTACATGGAGCATCTAGTTTACACAGAAAGTCGGTACGCAGACACGGGGGAAAGATGTGCTCGTGTCCATAAAGAATCACCTGGGAGCTAAGGGTTACTTACAGTACCTAGAGTAGGTTCTGCTACATAGGTGATACTCAAGATAAATATCTGAAAGTGAATGAAAAAGTCCACGACTCAACTGCTGGTTTTAAAGAGACATCATTAATGAAATTGTATCTTAAGCTCACTCACTACATAAATGAGGTGGATATAATACTGTCTTGACTGAGGAAAACTGAGGTCCAGTCCTGTTTACTCTTCCCTCTGTGACCCAGGAAGGTTCCTTGGAGCCTAACTGGAACACTTTTCTCATAGCCATTAGAAATGAGAAGTCTTTCAATTCTTGCTCTCTTCCCAAGTCATTTTAACTATGTGCAATCTTAACAAAATAGACTATGATCTTTCAGTGGGGACGTGTGTATCTGAAAAGAAAATGCTGCCAACTCCCTCCACCTACCCTCCAGGGATCCCCCAGTTATTATTAAGAGCATGGAAGTAGTTATTTTCAGTAGGAGACTTGATCCACAAATGTATATGAGACTAGTGTTTGTTTAACTTAAAGAAGGAATGTGCTGTGGTAGTTTTCCCAGCATTCAGTAGAATTCTCACTGGGTATAGTCTACTACAATGGACCACAATGTAAACCTCTTCTGTGGAGTCTGGTATGGTGCAGCTGCCTTTTGCACCAGAGTCCTGACAAGCAGAAACATTCCTAACCAAATCCACAGTCAATGTCGTGTACATGAAGGTGTGAAAAGGTCTCCCATGGACAGGACATCTTCATGTTTGTAGGACTGTCACCCTTTGCCCAGCCTGTCTGACATCTTTGTTTCACAGTCACCAGTAGGTTAAAGAGGAATAAAAAGTCAAGGAGCTTACTTGACAGAGTGGTCTGAGAAGCAAGGCACACTCCCATCCCTATCTTTGGAAAACAATCTAGGATAATGTTTTGGAGATGTCAAAAGGATAATACTTTTAAATTAAGAGGGCTCATTGCTACTGGTGGCATGGATCCTTTAATATGAATCTCTTTGAGCCCTACAAGATTGTCCTTCCTCATCGGAAGGACAGTTATACATATAACTTCCTTATATGCCACAGGTGGTAGGCATAGAACTAGTTCTGGAAATCCCATTTGACAGTAGAGTAAATTAAGGGGTGAAAGGAGTATCCTGATCCCAGACAACAAGCCACCAGAAGCTGCAGCTTCTTAGCTGCTGACATGTCTCCACCTCCTCCATCTCCTGGCCAGTCTCCTTATGGCCTCCCTATCTTCAAAATCTAGCTCAGGCTGGACTCTGATAGAGGGCAGCATTTGCTGCTGGTGAATGGTCTCCAAGCATCTGCCTGCTCCCCTCTATGGTATATGATACAGTTATTTAGGATTCGGCATTTAACACCTAAAATCTGGTTTTAGGAGCAAGATCACTCAAGGTTAGGGCTGGAGGAAACCTTAGGATCCCAAGGATTTGTTCAGGGTCTGTTTGACAGCAAATCATGACAAAGCTAAGACTAGACCAAGCTTTCCTATGTTGATCCTGCCTTCCTGGTTGGATCCCAAGCCCACTTTCATCTTTTGCTCTCTTTTAGTGTGTAAACTGCCTTCCTTCACTTCTCTTGTCTCCCTCTTACAGTCCTGCACTGGATCTGTACTTAATTTCTGGGACCTTGATGTTTGGTGGCTTACTCTGGATTAAGGACCTCAGTGCTGGGACAGAGTCTAACATCGCAGCTCTGAAACATGATTTCAACCCACCTAAAACCATCCCAGACATTTGTTTAGAAGCAAAAATAACGAGTTTAGATGCTATTGACCAAAGTTCCCCAGGTAAATGGCCACAGCAGGAGCCAACTTGGTGGCACTTTGCTGTGAATCTTACTTTGAACACTGTCCAGGACCGCTAGGCACTGGAGGAGGAGTTCCATTTGAAAGCAAGCCTGAAATCTGTCTTTCTGCTTGGAGTAGCACAACCGGCCCTGAAAGGTGGTATTTATTCCTTTATATATGGAAACCTGTCCGTTCATTTTGTTCATGGCTCTTGTCTGAAATGCGGGGGGACCACCAGTAAACTTCTGTGTGGTTTGTAACCAGTCTGGCGTTTTAAAAAGTTCGCCTGGTTGAGACCCCACCCTCGCCCGCCCAAGTCCAGCCTAGCCCAAGGGTGCAACCCCTATGGTGAGGCACTGCTGCCAGAAGTCAGCTCTTAATGAACCAGTGGGCTGTTGGGTAGCTCGACTGTACCTGAATTCTCTGACTTTCTTCTGGATTTGCTCTGCCTTGGGCCCATATCTTCCACCCGCTACTCTCTTACGCCCCCAGTGTCCACCAAACTCAACAAACTCAGCTCTCGAGGGTGTGCCCATCTGGACTCTGGGTCCTGGGGCCCGCGAATCTCCGGGCTAGCTCCAGCACTGGTTCCCTTTCGGAGTTAGGGGAGAAAAAGAGGAGGACTGGAGGGCACCTCCCTTGTGTCCCACTCAGCAGTCTGGATCTTTGTGTTTCCCCTGCTGCACGGCTGGGCACAGCACGGGCTGCCCAACTTTTTTTCATCTGTTGGACTCGCTGCTCGGGATTCGCAGCCTAAGTGGGAAACAAAGAGCTCTCCGGAAACTGCCCTAACTCTCTGTGAGGGAATTCCCCCAGGAAACTCAGGAGCTTCAATTGGAGGTACTCAGGGCTCTTCTAGGGAACAAAGGGTGAGGGCTTCTTTGGTGCCCCTCAGCTACCCATTCCGTGCACATACCGCAGCCATCGCCCTCTGGAGGGGAGCCTGTGCCTGGAACCTATTGGGACTGGCTTCTCGGGGCAGGGGACTCTAGCAAGCATTGGCGGAGTGGACCTGTTTGCTGGCTACTTTAGAGGTGGGATGGGACAGAGTTTCAAGATGGAAAAGCATGGAAGAAGAGGTTGCGTTCCTCTCCCCGGTCCAAAAGGATCCAAGTCGCGGGTGGGAAATAAAGAGTAAACACAAACAACCTCAAAAAAGAAGCCAAGAAACACTAAGCCAAAAGAAGCAAGCGCAACGCTGTTACAAAACTGTCTGGTTTTGTAACAATTTCCCCGCTGCCGGCCAATGAGCAGCGTGGTGGGGCGTCACGTGGTGACGTTTTATATAACACTTTGCTGAGACAAGACAGTTATTAGGCGGCGCGGGGCAGCCGGCATGGAGCTCCAGGAGGCGAGGCAGAGCCGGGCGCACTGCTATCCCGCGTTCACGGCAGTGCATATCGCTTCCAGCTGCCGCTCCTTCCAGCTAGTTCCCTGTTCCTAGACGATCCCCCTCCCCACAACCTCCTCAGGTCCCTCTCTCTATGGATTCGTTTCAGTCTGCACAGATGTTGAGCTTGCCCGCCGAGCTCGGCAGCAACAACTTAGAACTGGCGGAGCTGGCGGAGCCGGAAGAACGGGTGGCATCAGTGACCGGAGGAGACTCTGCGGCCCACCCAGAGGCGTCTCCCGAGGGCTCTGAACCTCCCCCGACGCAAGAGCTGGAGCAAGCACAGCCTTTGGGGACCTCGACGCCGCCAGAGTGCAAAGTCCTGCTCACACAGGCTGATGCCTTGGCATCCGGGGGGCGCCTTCGGGAAGCCCTCGAGGTGTACCGACAGCTCTCCGAGAGGCAGCAGCTAGTGGCTGAGCAGCTGGAGCAGCTGGTGCGCTGCCTGGCTGAGAGCGTCCCGCAAAAGGAGCCGGTGGCGCCAGCTCCCTCGGATGAGAGCAGCACCCCAACCTGCTGCAAGGTGGCCGTGGAAGAAGCAGGGGAGGCTGCAGCCGTGGCCCCCGAGGTATGGGATGGCTTTAAGTGCCGGAAGTGTCACGGATTTCTCTCAGACCCCGTGTCCTTGTGGTGCGGCCACACCTTTTGTAAACTGTGCCTGGAACGTGGGCGGGCCGCCGATCGGCGCTGCGCGCTGTGCGGGGTCAAGCTCTCGGCTCTCATGGTGCCCAGTGGGAGGGCACGCGGGACACGACGGGCTGGGCCGCCGGCGCCAATGCAACTGCGAGTCAACGTGGTACTCAGCGGCCTTCTGGGCAAGTTGTTCCCCGGCCCGGCGCGGGCGTCGCAACTCCGGCACGAGGGCAACCGGCTGTATCGTGAGCACCAGGTGGAGGCAGCTCTGCTCAAATACAACGAGGCAGTTAGGCTGGGTGAGTCCTCCGCGCCGCTACCGGGCGGGCCGTGAGGGCTTGGTCACGACGCGAGGGGGCGGGAGAATGAACCCAGCTGCAAGATGGGGGATGGACCAGGGCAGAGTTGGGTGCGCGCGCGGGGGTGGAGGATGGGGGTGGGGTGAGGTTGGGGGTGGGGGTGATGGCTGTGGCCCAAGAGGAGGAGGAGGAGGAGAAGGAGGAGAAGGAGGATGAGGAGGAGGGACATTTCTAGGAGTTTGGCTTCTCTACTTTAGCTTTCTTTGGCTGAGCCTCACTCAGTCTCTGGTTCTATTGCTTTTTTGTCCTTTTGCGTATCTCCTGCTTGCTTTAGTGTTTTTATGTCTTCTGGTCCCAGTTTCTATCTGTTTCGTTCCATTCCTCTCGTTTTGTGTGTTTCTTCTCCTCTTTGTCATTGTTTCTGTCTTGCTCAGTGTCACCATCTCTATTTATCTTTCCTGGACACTTCAGAGCTCCGTCTTACACCTGCCGGTACCTTCCCTGCCAAGAGAAGAACTTGGCACTATTTCTCAAACTCCCGCGCGGTCCTCCTGGCTTTTGCCAACCAGAGGTGGCCCGCCGGCGCCGGACTCCGCGGCTCCCGTCTCTGGGAGTTGTCCCTTCCGGGGCCGCGGCTCCCTGTGGGGTGGGTCCGGCCTGGAATTAGGTCAGGAGATCACTGGTTGCATAAGGACCTCGATCCGCCCGGGCCGGCGGCCCCTCCTCCGCGCGGGCGGGCGGGCGGGCGGGCAGGCGGGCAGGCGGGGATTGTGTAACGCTGAGGTAACCGAAGTGGGCCACGCTCTCCTCGGAAACCATCCCGCGAGCGTGTGCGGGGGGCGGAAGGGGGGACTCGCTCCCCGCTGCCCTGTGACTCATTGTCACTGCTTCCTATCACACGATCCTTGGCTGAAATAGATGCACTTGCCCCCCCTTCCACCCGCCACAGTCAGACAGTCTGTGCCCTGACATCAAACCCTTTGACCCCTCTAATCCAATGGGCAGCAGGACCAGGCAACTTCTCCGGATTCCCAAGGAAATAAGGGGCTGTCTACAAAGGGGGCATTCTTCTGTCTACCTTTTCCACGAGTTGCCTGAAGAGGTAGGGTGGGCTTTATGGCTTCAAGGGCAACCCGGGCAGTGAGTCCCACATCTCTCCTGGACTGGAGCACAAGAGTTCTCCCTGGGACCTGTTTGCTCCGCCTACCTCCTCCCACTTAGACCCAGGAAGTGGCCTGGGAACCACAAGCTGGTGTCAGCACCTCTACATGCAGGCGGGGCACGGTGTCCAGGTGTCCAGAGAATCGTGCTGGGGAGGAAGCAGCGGGGCTAAGCAGACAGGGCTGTGGGATCCTAGGGCTTCCTAGGGCATCTCTGATGGATGGAAGAGGGACAAGTTGAATCCCACTCAAGCCAGCAACAGGTTATGTTGGAGGGAGCAAAACCAGGGCTGACTGGATGTGATAACTGGAGGACACAAATCTACTCACAACACATATCCTGTCTGTGCCTACACAAAGCAGGCTGTGGGCTGCTGATTTGTGCTTCCGAAAAGCGGCAGAGAAGACTGTAAAGTCTATGCTAAAGTCAAGAGGAAATAATGGGCACCCAGGTCCTCCCCCTGAGCCTACTCCTGAGGGATGGGGTAGAGGTAGACCTCACAGCCTGTTTCAGACAGTAGAAGCAGCAGCCCAGCATTTCAGGAAGAATGCAGCAATATGAACGAAATAGGTTCTGGCCACTTAAGTGTGGAATTCTGAGAGAAGCTGTATTCCTTGTATCCATTCCCCAAGGCTGGACAGGAAAGCTCCTTTCTACATTCCTCCTTTATCAGTGTCACCACTGTCCTCAGCGGGACCTTTCCTATGCTTTTCTTAATCTCCTCAGAGCAGTCAGGGCAAACATGTCGACACCACCTTCACCCTTCTAAGAGGAAAGGGGGCCTCTCCAACAGACTATATATATCCTGGAAATGGCTGGTGCCCACACTCAGGAAAAGGACCTTCCCTCCACGCAAGCCTCAAAACTTTAACTTCAACTAGCATTGACTCTAGCCAGCTGTGTGACTTCTATCACTTCATTTCATTGGCCTTGTTTGCCCTATCTGAAGAATGGCTGGTTTAGTGATTCAGTGATGGTGAGACTAAGACTCCTAAAAAGCCTTGTCAAGGTACTTACTCATTTGGTCATCGATGGGAGGATGGACCTTAAAAATGCCTATCTGTTTCCTCCAGGAAATCTTCATATGCACTGGCCACTGGGGAGAGGGGGGTTGGGGTTAATGCCACTGGCAATCCCACCTAGAAGACTAACATGAACTTGTTTTGTTGGGTGTCCAAATAGGGGTCACATCTGGCTGCCTTTCTCTCTTCCCTGGCTTCATTCTTTTCTGATGGTGTGCATTGTTCATCTGGCAGAACAGTGTTAGGGTTTCCTCTATGTGAGTTTCTAATGCATCATGGACACCGCACCTCCTAGAACCCACTTTAAATAGGAAGGCAGCATCACGACTTTGCACGGAGAAGCTAGGGTGTTAAAGTCCGGACAATATTAGGACTGGAAATGATGCTTAACCTCTTGGATCCAGTAGAAAGAACTTAGGTACCTTTGATTTCCTCAGGATCCATCCTCATACAGAACTTATCATATGCTTGTGCTGGGGGCCATTAATGAGGGCTTTTTTTTTCATTTTGGCAGCTCCAAATGACCATTTGCTTTACAGCAATCGGTCTCAAATTTATTTCACCTTGGAGTCTCATGAGGACGCACTGCATGATGCAGAAATAGCATGTAAACTTCGGCCAATGGGTTTTAAGGTGAGTGTGGGACAAGAGGGATGGGAAGGGGCCATACTGCAGAAAGGGATAGGCAGAAAGGGCTGGCCCTCTGGGGCACGAGATGGTAGAGCCTGGGCAGAACAGGAAGAAGGCTCTCTGAATGAGTTGGACAGTGCAGGGCATCCCTTGGTAAAGGGATGGCTAAGTCTGCAAAGGATCCCAACAAGTCTGCCTTCAATTGGTGACCTTCAGGATAGCCTTGTCTTCGTAGTTTTTCAAACTATGGAATCAGTAGCCAGACTTCATGTCCCAGCTCTGCAACATTTCTTAGCTGTATGGTCTTGGGAAAATTAGTTCATTTTTCTGTGTCTAATTCCTTCGGATATAATATGCTTTTATTCAAAGCAATACTAAATAGTGTTGTTGTAGGGATTATACAAGATCATGTAGGGAAGATGCTTGAAACGATGCACGTAACATTATATAACTGTTTGCTATCACCACCACCATCATCATCGCTCTTATAATTTTCTGGGGATAATAGGGAGAGGAATCTGAGAAACATATTGCTGCCCTGGTCATTAAGAATGTCTAGTGATACCCAGGCTTCCTGAGAGCTTAAACGGCTTTCCTTAAGGAGATCTTCATATTGGCACAATGGTTGTGCCATTTTGAATCAATAATACAGTCATTTGATATGTCAGTATGTATACGCCCCCCCAAAATCTAGGTCACATAGGAGAGAAGAAAGACAGGGTAGACATCAAGACAGGGCATACTTGAATACAAAGTACCAATTTCTGCATCTTTGCTTGGCGTCAGGACCAACCTCCTCCACGTGTCTGTATTTTGTGTAGAAGATTAGAACAGGGTCTGCACCTCAGTGTTTGCAAAGTGTGACCAGGGGGAAGTGGTTACACTCTTTGACACACAAGTGCGCTTATTTGTTAAATGTCGCTCTTGCTATCTGCCATGATTGTTTCACAGGTATGCATAAGGGTCAAAGGTGAGGATGACAAATGGAACATTCTGCAAGCTATAAACATTACAGGATCTTGGTTAAGGTCCTCTGTGTACAACCCGAGGGTGAGAAAAGCAGTGTCTTAGACCAGAGTCACTGTGCCTATCTGAATCTCATGGGAACAGGTGTGCTATGAATCCAGAATGATTCTGACGGTAGAAAGACCTTAGTCTAAGCAATACCTTCAATAATTTCCAGACAGCTTCCCAGTTGGTCTAATTAAATACACTCTCTGCAGCAATTTACATGCAAAAATCACACCGAATAGAAGAAATACTACAAAACAGTTTACATCAGTTTAGTTCTGATGTTGCTGCCTAATGCATTTTGATGCTAAACCTATGAAAACATTGGATCATTAGAAGTTTTTCAGATCTAGGAACTTCAGATAAGGCCTTATGAAGTTGGGCATGGTGACATGAGCCTGTAATCCAAGGAAGATCATGAGTTTGGGGCCAGCCTGGAGTATTACAGGGAGCCTATAGTAATTAGAGTAAATCTCATTGGTCTTTCTTGAGAGATTTTTCATGGATAGTGATGTATCAGTGTGTTCTCTTTCCCAAGGAACACATTTACAGCTTAATACAAGGCACCAATGCTTTAAATTGCCATGGGGACAGGCTGTCTAACATGCAAGCCAGGGAGCTGCCTTGGGGCAAGAGGGGCTTCTCTTGTAGCTTTTTTTTCACTGAAAAACTAAATCTAGATACTATGATGGGAAGAGGACTGAGAAACACATTCTAGATGCAATGAGGAAAGAGGTTTCTCCCATGAAGGAAAAATTGGTGCAAGTACTTGGCAGGGGTTTCATTTTCCTACAGTTGAGAGAAAGGGAAAGTTCAGAGAACTCTACTGTCTTGGTGGCTAAAAGGGTCTAATGCATATACCTCGACACTGATTTTTGAATTTCCCACTACTCTTTGGGTGAAATGCCATAAAGGAGCAAATCCAACAGGCAGCCCAATTTCACCCATCTATCCAGGGCTTAATGTCATCCAGTGCAGCTTGCTGGCAGTACAGTTAGCAGTGGGGTAAGCTGACCACCCCGAGAAAGTGGGGTTTCTGAGTTGCTGCTGAGTTGGTTACCGGGAACCCAGAGACCTCTCCAGTTTTCCAGCACTTATCTCCCTAAAGCTGCTCTGCAACGTCCTGCTAGCCTTTCTCCAGAAGGCTACTCTTTGGCAGGAGCAACAAGGGAGTGTGGCAGCCAAGATTAGGATCCAGAAAGAAGTGAGTGCGTGGATAGAAGTCCCCAAGAGATTTGTGGCTGTGGCCACTGCTCAAGAAAGCAGCTTCTAGCCAGGCCCTGACACCACGCCGACTTATGTTAGAAGAGGAGGCAGAGGACCGCCTGACAAGTGACACCTGGGCCTTTTCATTCATACTCGGCACAAGGAGAAGGGAGCACTGTACTCCTTTTTGCTTTCTTGTCCCCCTCAGGATGCTGCTCAGGCCCTTCGAAAGAATTTAGTTCACACTGTAATACGAAAAATAAAAGACCCAGAGACAGATATTGGGGTTCAAGCTTCAAGCTGAAGAACAGAAAATCAAAGTAGGGGGCCACTAGCTCTTACTGCTACCTCAGGCTGAAAGGGCTGATCCTGCTGCCTCTCCTCAGCGTAGCTGGAGAATGGATGCCTCATACTGAGACCTTGCTCCTGTCTTATAAACCTCCCTAGTGCTGGGATTAAAGGCATGTGATCCCAGGTGCTGAGATCATCTTTGTGTGAACTGTTTCTCTAGGACTGACTCAATGGTGTGTAGATCTGGGTGGCCTTGGACTCAGAAATCATCTGCCTCTTAATCCCGAGTCCTAGCATTAAAGGTGTGTACCACCACCACCCAACTCTATGGTTGCTGGGATTAAAGGTGTGTACCACCACCACCCAACTCTATGGTTGCTGGGATTAAAGGTGTGTATCACCACCACCTGACCTCTATACCTTGAAGCTGACCTCGCTTTCTCAGGCAAGCTTTAATAAATCATAAATAATATATCTCTACACATCAGCACTTGGGTTTGAATTCTAAGGTCATAAAACTTCCTTATATCTGTAAAATGTGCAGCTGTAGAGGAAAAGACAGCTCAGTTTCCAGAAGCAAAAGTACTGGCTCACTCACTGTTCAGACTTCTGGAAGGTGGTCTGCTTTTGAGAAGAGTGCCCTGGAAGTCCTGAGGCCATAGGTCCAGTTCTAGATTGCTGCTAATAACCTTTGAGATCAGAGAGGAGCCATAGTCTGTCTCTGAGACCTCTCTAAAAGCAATTGGCACCCTCAGGACACCAGTCTTCCAGACCAGTTCAAAGAGCAAGTCATCTCTGGATGAACATTGAAAACTGAGCTATTGTAGTCTGTGGTTACATGGAAGCTCTGACATGTTTGTGATCTTCAGTTGTGGGGTGGAGAGGAGGTAGTAAGCACAGAGGCTAAGAATATGCACTTTGTATATTATCAGTCTCAGGTTTAAACTTGGACTTCACAGCTTTCTGGCTGTTGTATGTTGGTCCAGTTATTTCTCCGGTTCCCCTTTTGTTGTCTTTAAAATGATCTTCAGAATAGCTTGCCATTGTTACTGGGATGAAAATCAAAGCCTTTTGACAATACTCCACCCACTAATGACTGCTCGATAGGTACTCAGAAATAGCTGTTAATAGTAGCTACGTTAAGAAGGTTACTAGGATGTGATTGACTGCTAATGTTTTCTTCCAGGCACACTTCAGAAAAGCACAAGCTTTAGCCACCCTAGGCAAGGTGGAGGAAGCACTCAGAGAATTTCTCTACTGTGTGTCCCTTGATGGAAAGAACAAGAAAGCCAGAACCGAAGCTCAAAGGGTGAGTTGAGTGACTCAGGGTCAGCTGCCTAGTGGACCCCCACCACTCTGTCTTCTCTAGGGAGAAGGATGAAGATGCAACCCTTTTCAATATTTGTGATCCTGAGTGGGTGGTTCTATGGGTTTAAGGGGCATGAGAGAGATGCCAACTGATTGCCCAGAAGCCCTGCCGTTCTGGTATGTACTATCAAATTGGCAGATCCTACTTTTTTTTGTAGGAGCCAGTGATGAATACTTTGGCTTGAAATCAGTGGTATATAAACCAAACTAAACCAAGTAAGCTAACCTGGGGATGAAGGCTTGTTGAAGAGAGATCAGGACTAGGGAGTGGGGGCTGCTTGCAGCTTTATAACTTTGCTTCGGCAGAATCACACATTTCACCAGTCACACATGGAGGACAGCTCCTGGGAAAGGACGCTGATGCTCTCCACATTGCTTGCCACATACAGAACTCAAATCTTCACCTCTTCTGCTAGAAAACTAAACCCAGTATCTCACAAATGCAAGTCAGAATCCATTATGAAACAATCTAATTAGTTCTTCCAACTACTGGGTCCCAGGAGAATGTAGTTGTAAAACAAATATCATGAGAAATACTAAGAACCGAATTGAAGGGTCAAGTATCCTCATTTGATGGGCTTTGTCATTTATTCTAATATAGTCTTCTGGTGTCTGGAAGTTGGGTGCTGACAGTCTGTGATTGTATTCTTTTCCTGTCCCCATGCACTATTCAACACCAGGCCGCAAGCCCTCTTCCTCATGTGTGATGGTTTGACAGGGAAAGGGAGGAAGAAAGTGCGCAAGAGACAAAACTGGTCTCTGAAGACTCTAGAATGGAATATTTAGCAAAACTAGTAAGGTTGGCAGAGGCTGGACTCTGAATTTTCTGATGCTGTCATGGAATGTGCTGACTGGAAAAATTTTGACCTGGTTTGTGTGTGTTTTATTGAAAAGGGCATGGTTCAGGCAGAATTATCAGCAATCTATGGATCTTTCCTAAAACTTAAGTATAGTCAGTCCATGGTACAGCATTACCTGAGCATTGCCTATGTGCCAGTCACTTGGTTTGTACTTTCTGCAGAAGGTTCCATTTAGTTCCCAGAACCTCACTGTTATTTCTCCCCATGTTATAGACAAGACAGTTAAATGAGGGATCAAAGGCTCAGTGACGTGCTTGAGGCCACATGCCTTTCTTTCATTCATTCCTCAGGTGGCCCAAGAGGTTCTGGTATCATGAGTTGAACTAACCTCTCTCCAGTTTGCTTTTAAGGATGGGCTGTTGTCATTTCTATACTTGTCTGATGAAAGACACAGAAGGCCTAAGTTCCTCATGGAACTTGCAAATTTTAGTGGTTACTATGAATGCCCGGCAATACAAGTGAATGTGTGTTTAAGATAAGTGTTACAAAATTCTGAAATTAATATAAGAATCTGGAGACAAATTTCTGCTGCCTGTTATGGAGCTATAACAGCATTTAAACACACTGAGAGGCCTCAATGTATGTATTCACTGGGTTATTCAGTTTTATGGCTAAACATTTGACAAATGGTCCAGATGCACTAGGTATTAATAAGCCTCCTCAGAACCCACAGCTCTATGTTTTATTTCAACTACAGTTTCTGGACCACCCCCTTTCTTCTTGACCTAGTTGGGGCTTTTTAAGGCTAAAATTACATCAGAATTGACTTTCATTAATGTGGAATGATTATTCTCACTGAAAGCCAACCCTAACTTGTGTTTTCAAAACCATTGAGAAGGCCTACAGAGAGATCTCAGGTAGTAAAGCTAATAAGGGAACTACTGTATTATTTCTGCCTTGTTTCTTTTGATTCTGACTCCTGACTTCCTTTTCCTCATGCTATCCTCTGTCTTTTCAACCTTGAACTGGGTGCTATACAGCCATCCCCAGGGAGACTATCTCAGAAGTGGATATATCCTTTTGGGTCCCTGAGTGGGACTTCTAAGAACCAACATTGATTCCTAGGAATGAGTTAACTCTGAAAGATTATATTTATGACCCTGGGCACTGTGTACCTTCCCACTTTTGTCAACTTATACCTGGAAAGTATGGGTTTTAGCAATGCACGGGAATATAAGCATATTTCTGAGGATTTGAGGCACCTGAGAGCTGGATTTCTTCTTGGTCCCTAGGATCTATAAATGTCTTCATTATATCTGCGAGTGTGATGTATATTTATTAGGCATTTATGTCTGGCTGGACAGAAAGGCTTTTGTGACACACTTCCAGTGCACAGTAAGATGGTTTAAGTTTCAGTGTCATTGTCTATAGAGAATGTGAAAGGACAGGTGGGATCAGAGAGATGGCAATATTGAGGCAAGGCAGCACTTGAGCTGAACTTTAAGCCTGAGTGGGCTTCTGTGCTGGGTAAGTGCGGTTGCACGAAGGAACATCTTGAAGAAACTTCAGAGAAGAAGGAAGAAAATAAAGCAAACTTTGAGTTTAGCATTCTTTCAAATTCTCTTGCTAAACTGACACTTCTGACTATGTAGACTGAACAACAGTGTAGGGCATTGCATTGTCTAGTGGGTCTCCAAACATGGCAGGGTCTACTAGGTGATAAGCATTTGAGTGTATTGTAGAAGCCCATTGACATGTCCTCCCTCGTGGTCTGTCTCTCTCTCTCTCTCTCTCTCTCTCTCTCTCTCTCTCTCTCTCTCTCTCTCTCTCTCTCTCTCTTGGTCTCTCTCTCTCTCTCTCTCTCTGGTCTCTCTCTCTCTCTCTCTTGGTCTCTCTCTCTCTTGGTCTCTCTCTCTCTCTCTCTCTCTCTCTCTCACACACACACACGTGCAGATGGGTAGATAGATAGATGCATACATATTTTTATATGGTCCCTAACCTCTGATGGCATAGGGGAGAACTGAAGCAAGAATGCGGACAGCCAATGGTGCAGCCTGCACTCAAATGCTTATCTTTGACTCCTCGACCCCCTTTGCTCTACTCCCTTCTCCTTTATCAGTGTATCCAACTGGAAGTGAATCTGTATGCCTCTGGGTACTTGAACTTAAGCTGACATTTTCTGTAGATGATCAGGAAGAGGAAGAGGCTTGGAAGGGGAGAGGAAGTCTGAGCTCTGTGTTCTTAACATTTAATTACTCAGGTTCCCAGCTCTGAAGGGATTAAAATCCAGGAGCTATGATGGGGAATAAAAACAGAGAAAACAGCAGCAAGGAACCCAGTGTACATTTGTGGACTTCTCTGCCCATTGAGTTATTGTAGGCTTGACTTTGCATTCTTCAACTGAGGTGTTCTAGTTTGCTTTTCTATTGCTGTGATAAACACCGTGATCCAAAGCAGCTTAGGAGAGAGAGTTTGTTTACCTTACACATCCCAGGTCACAGTCTGTCACTGAGGGAAGTTGTAGCAGGAACTTAATCAAGGCAGGAACTTGGAGGTAGGAACTCAAGCAGAGACCACAGTGGAATCTGCTTACTGGCTTGCGTCTCAGGGTCACATCCAGCATCCTTTCTCATACACACTGGTAACACCTGTCCAGGGGTGGCACCACCCACAGTGTGCTAGTCCCTCCTACATTAATCATTAATCAAGAAATACCTGCACAAACTTGCCTATAGGCCAGTCTGATACAGACATTCTCTCAATTTAAGCATCCTCCTCCCAGGATGACCTAGTTTGTATCAACGTGACAAAAAACTAACCAGTACACGAGGCATCTCTTCTGACTTAACCTCTATGTCTCTTTTGGTTCAGATAGATTTAAAAGCCCCATTGTGGGTATTTCTGCAGAATGGTGGCACCATAGAGGTGGCTCTTAACCTTGACTAAGTAACAAAGGTATCTGCCATGCCTTCTTTGAACCCAGATTCCTGGATCATACATACTTCAGACCTGGGGAGATTGGAACGGGACCCAGGAACTGACATTTTCATAAGCTCCTAGGTGACTCTTTTTTAAAAAATATGTATTTTATTTTTTAATATGTGTATGTGTTTGAATCTGTGCGTGGATATTTGCACATGAGTACTGGTACCTCTGGATGTCAGAGGTGTCAGTTATCCCTAGAGCTGGAGTTATACAGGTGGTTGTGAGCCACCTTACATGTGTGCTGGGGACCAGACTTGGATCCTCTGCAAGAACAGTATGTGCTCTTAATGACTAAGCAATCTTTCTATTCCTCCCCCCACTCCTAGATGATTCTGATGTGTGTTGATGCAACGACCTCTCCTTAGTGTGTCTAGGGACACTGCTCCAAGGCTTCCTCATTGGAGATTTGCCTTGCAAGCTGTGCTCTCTGGTCTCCCATCCCTCCCCCCTTCACCTTAGTCTAGCACCTGTAGAAACTTGAGTAGTGAAGTCTTCTGTTTTATGTCACAGCTTCTCTTTAGTTTCTTTTCACCATCAGTCCCGGGGGATTCTCAGGAACATTCTCCCGATATCCTGAAGCTGTTGGCACCTCACCCTAGATTAAAGGAACACGTAGAGTCAATGGCTACTGAAGGCACCAGTCATAATCTACCAAAGTTGTCACAGGTAAAACTCAACTCACCTAGCTCGCTCATGATGCTTCGTTTGGCTCTTTTGTGGGCACACGAGAAGTGAGCCCTACCTCTTCTACTTTGGTTCCTGAGGGAAAAAGAAAGATGGAGTTGATAATGGCTGTGTCCTTTGCTTAAACTACAACTGGGAATTTCAGGCATAGTCCAAAAGTTTATTTATTTATTAATTTGTTTGTAGACTTGGTCAGAACCAGAAAAATACAGAGATTTGATAGAAGTATAAAGAGATTGGCCCACTTCCCCTAAAGCCCTGTAATTGGGGTGTGCTTATTGGCTTCAGTTTTAGGGCATATTCAATCTGATGACCTTTGAGCACCAGTCAGAGCTTTGTGCAAGGGTAACTCCATTTGGGAAGCAAATGGAGGGGGTTTCTTTTTCTTGCACTATACTTTACACATAAGTAGGCTTCTCGTGCACATTTATAGCAAAGCAGAGGTATGAGAGTTGGGTTGAGAATGAAGACAAGTACTTGTGGTTTTCTTGGAAAACAGTGGAACAGAAGACAGGAGGATAGGCTTCAGGAGCTGGCCTTTCTAGCACAGGGTAAGTGGGCAGAAGTTGGAGCTCAAAAGCACCAGACTTGAAGCAAGGTTTAACACTGAATTCCTGGGCACCTTTGGGGAGCGGTTTCTTCTCCATTTGTGCCTGAAGTTCCTCACTTGTATATAAGCCCTGGATGCTTACATCTTCCCAGTTTTCATCCCTGCTCTAGAGAAGGATTAAAATGCAAGGTGCCTGAGTTTTCTTGGTAAAGGCAGGACTTGCAGTATCTGCTGAAATCAGAGAGCCATCAGTGGTCATTAGTACATGACTAAGACAGCTAACACTAGGCCCCAGAGCCTGGAGTGGGGACTTCTACTTGAAACTCAGTCTGAAATGAAAAAAAAAAAACAGAACCTCTGGCTTTCCAGTGTGAGCAGGCTGGTGGGGGGTGGGGGAGGCAGTGAGCGCATTTCCACCCAAACTTTGTTTTGCAAGGCCTTGGGTTCTTATGTGGACAGTGTGCTCTGGGCTCATGGAAAGTCAAGGCTGGAGTGTTGTTTAATTTACTACTTGAAAAGCACTGAACATCCAGGGCTATAGACTGAGAAAACCCACGTCCTCTCCTTTCCTCTCCACTTCATTGTTTCCTCTTGCCTGTGTCCACTAGAGTTTCTGGCAGGAGTAGAGGGAAGCAATGAAGATGAGCATTTCGCTGTCAAATATGGATTTGTATTACAGAGAGCAATCTGTATAAGCATGTCTTCCGAGTTATTTCTAGTTCCACTTTCTAATATCCTTCTCCTGGACAAAGTCCTCTTAAAGGCTAGAGACAAGCTATTATGCCAAATTATTTTTGTCTCTTTTTCAGATTTTTCATTCAAAATTGAGGAAAAGGAATGGATTTTTCCCTGTTCCTTTGATGACAATAGCATATAGCTCTGGAGCATGGGTTGCTTCGACAGGACTGTACAGAGCTGGCCCAAAACCTCACCTAAAGTCCTTTGAAAAATGGCTCTGAATGACAGCGAGGGTGAGAGGAAGTATCCAGTAACAGGATATCCCCTCACAGACTGCTTTGATTTCCTTACAGAGCACTGGGGAATGGTTTGGGTTAGGAGGGAAGAGTGCTGCTTCCCTCATAGTCCCCCTTCACCCCTGCCCGGGAAGCTTTTCCTCCATGTGCCTTTTGTCCGTGCTTAGGGAAGTGCACTAACTCTACTTAGGCTAGGCATGTCATTGACATAGATTAGATGTGAGCAATACGTCTCATGATTGCCCCTCTGCTGAGTTGTGTATCCATTGCGTGTTCAAGAGTGAAGATTAGGGTTATGTTGCTTTCTCTTTGTCCCCTCGTGGTAAGACAATTGGAGGACAATATTGATCTCAAGTAGTTCTAATATCTGGCTTTTTGTTCATCTAGGAAAATCCAGAGCTTCCGCATTGTTCTAGTCAGGAGGAAGCAGCAGCTGGGGGAGAAAGCAGCAGCATGGAGAAGTCAGCTCAAGTAAAGGTGGGGAGTCGAGAAGACAATGCGAGAGGTCAGGAAGAAGAGGAGGAGCAGGATGCTGCCTCCATCAGGACCGGCAAATGCCAGGAAAAGAAAAGGAACCGCTGCCAAATTGATGAAATTCAAGAAGACATGGACGTGCCTAATAAAGTTTCCAAACAAGGTACTAATTGCACCCAGGGAGAAAGTAGCTGAGTGCAGATGGCTGGGCTCACTGACATACGTACTTACCCTCTGTCTGGGGTCTCCTCCGGCTCTGAGTTCATGGCCTAGCTCTGGCACTTTCCAGCTGTGAAATCCCAAGGGTTGCTGTGGGGTTTCCGTGAGACTGTACAGGGTATCCATCACACTGAAAGTGTTGCCGTAAGATAATTAGCATCCATAGTCAAGACATCAAGGCAGGCATCAGTTGATGTCATCCCATGTTTTCCATCATGTCACTTTCTTCCAGGCTAACCATTTCCTGCCCTCACCCCTGGTCTGGGAATATAGGATGGAAGAGGTGTGGTCAAGTTTCAGTTGTGTTCTGAGAAGCAGTAGCTATAGCTTCCTATCTTTCCAAGAGAGGTTGGCAGCACCAAGTGTCAGCTTTGAAGACATGGCCCAGTCCGTGGAGCCGCCACTGCTGCTGCTGCTGAAGGACATGCCTACTTAATTGGAATGTACTCCGAGGGAGCTGTAGACTTGAACTTCTCTGCCTAGGGGGACTGCTAAAACACCACTGCCAGGCCTCTTTAGGGAATACCATTGGCATTTGCTCAGGAAGCCACTAAACTCTGGGGGAAGTTTGAAATTGAAAATCTGAAAAAAAAACCTTTTTTCCTCAGAAGTACTGTCTGTAAAACTAAGTTGATGGAGTCCTGACTTACTGTTTTCTAAATCACAGATCTTCCTGCTGATCAGGTAGCCAAACCAGATCTCAGTAATCCGCTTGCATCTTTTGATGCGTCTGACCTTGAATGCTCACTGTGTATGAGGTATGTGCTACGGGGCCGTCACTTACTGCCTGTTCTTTCCTTCTCTTTGGTATCTGGGCCTTTCCTGCAGTAACTACTGAATTGGTTAGTATGTAAAATGATGGCAGAGATGAAATGGAAATCCCATTGTCGTGACACTGCTGGTGTCCCCAGTTTAGAAAAGACCTGGGGAGCGGCAAGGCAACAAAGGTCAAAAACTGATTGGCCACAAGTTGAACATGTCTATTTGGTCCCCATTAGATTTTATTTTGATATATATGGCTGTACTGAACCAGGACTTACACTTTCCAGCTGGTCATGATCCCATTAACTTATACCAGTCTGTCTCACATTATTGTTTGAGCCTTAGAGGTGTTTGAACTTGTGACCCTGAATCTAAACTACTAAATTAAGAACTCATAGCTCAAGGGTTAATATCAATGGCATACACACCTTCTTAGGGAACAAAACAGAAGGCTAAATTGGCTTGTGTTTTATGCTGTCTACAGAACAGTATATGTGATAGTTGGTCAAGCATTTTCTTCCAGCTAGTATGTTATGTCTAATTTCTCAGGTCTCTGAAGAGCTGATTACCCATATATGCCACTTCAAGAACAAATAGAAAGAGTCTGTGAACATGGTCTGAGCGACCACCTTGAAATTCAGAACTTTATTTCATTTCACAGCTGTGATTTAGTGGCTAAGGGAAGGAACTCTGAAACCAATATTTGAACCCTAGTTCTTTCCACCTACAGACTCTGTCCTAGAGCAAGTGACGTTTGTTGCCACTAATTTTTCTTTAGTAAAGTTGAAAACAGTGGAATGTACTCCATGGGTTGTGATGATTAACTAGAAAAACTATTTAATGCCTAGAGTAGTGCCTGGAAAACAGTAAGTACACAAAAAATTAACTAGTTTTTCTTCTTACACAGAGGTCTTTAATACTAGATCCACAGACCTCTGAGGAAGCCCTATGTATGCATTCACATAGATCTCTGAAGTGATATGTAAAAATGTACGTGTGTGGGTGTATGTGTTTCTAAGATAAAAGCATGCAGCTTTTATTAGCTTCTCAAATGTGGTGACTTTCTCCAAAAGTATTAAGAAGGTACTGAGACACTTGAACAAATGTTTACCTGTCCATTGCAAGCTCTTATTCCTCTCCTATTGATCATGTGAGGTTATATGACTTCTCTTTATTATCTGAACAAGAAAACGGCAACTATTACCTGAACCATGGACTTTTTTAAAGAACATATACTTGGGTCTAGGGAAGTAGTAGCTCAGTGGCAGAGTACTTGGCTACCATTCATGAGCTTCCGGATTCAATAACAACAACAACAACAACAACAACAACAACAACAATAATCAAAATAATAATAATCTGTAGTAGCAAGATTTGTTCATAAGCATAAGCGGTCTCAGTCAGTTGAGCAGATACAGCATAGATGTCATCAGACTAAGCTTTGAACACACTGTCCGGTTAGGTGGTGTGGACTAGAGTGGGATGAACTGTAGAAGCAGACCCTTCTCACCACTCATCCAGCCCCTCACAACAGAGTGACAAGTGCATCATGCTAACGCCAAGGCACAAGACAGCAAGAAGCTGCTTTCAAGCGGAGAATGCTCCCTGTAGCCACCACAGCAGGGCTGCAGCTTTAAAGCCCATGATGGGCGCTGTGAAGTAGAGTTCATTTAGCTTACTCAGAAAGAGCGGGCCTTTGTTCTGCTTAACCCTCCTTAACACTCCTGCCAAAATCCAGGGGACACAAAATCAAACATACAGACTCATCCTGTTTGTGTTTTCCCTGTGGAATAAAAATCCTGAGGTTGAAATTCCTTTGTTCCTCTTCCCTTTCTTTTCCTCTTTCATCTTCTTTGTCCCTAATCACAAGGGACTTTGTAGAAAAGTTAGGAATTTGGTCCAAGAAATAAACACACAGGGATAAGCACTCTGTCTAGTTCACACACACCCCCAGCTTAAAAGCCATTGTTTCCCTCTTCCTGACCCCTTGTCCCATCTTTGCCCAGAGCAGCTGTTCTGTAGGCTACTAAAGTATAGCTAGACTCTCACTGCCCTGTGGTGTAAGAAACCTGGCTAGCCTAGAGCTCTTTGATCTGAAGCTCTTAACACTTCATCCTTGGTAAGAAACATGCAGCTTCCCTTCCAGCGGGGTTTGTCTGTGAGATACACATCAGATGCTGACCGAATTTGTTTTGTGTGGATGCCTTTGCCTGTATTTTTCTAGTCTTGAAAAGTTTCTGGCCCACTTGTCGCCATTGCTATTTTTGTCACAGTTGCTGGTGGGTTTTGTTTTGGCCCTCATGTGTCTTTGGAGGAGAGGCTTTGTATTTGGTTACTTTTCTTGTTGCTCTGACTAAATATTTGAACAGAAGCAATTTAAGGGAGGAAATGTTTATTCTGGCTTACCATTGGCCAGGAACATTCTCTCATGGTGAGGAAGGCGTAACAGCAGGTAGGCAAAGTGTGGCTGTAAGATCAGGAGTCCTGCTGCTCACATTGATTTCACAATACACAGGAAACAGACAATGGTGACTGCTAGTACTCAGCTCAGCTCACTGGCTCCTTTGTAGTCAGTCTAAGATCCCAGACCATGGAATGGCGCTGCCCACAGTTAAGATGGGTCTTTCCACCTCCAACAATTTCGATAATCTCTCACAAGTGTCCTGGAGGCTTGTCTCTTAGGTGAGTCTAGATCCTGTCAAGGTGACAATTGATATTAATCATCACAGGTCTAAAATTACAGATAATTTCAAACTGCTTGGCCGTGAGTTAGACATTTGTACCATCTGTACAGGATTCTAGACTGAAATCTATGCCTATGGTATTGTCCTGGTAGAGAAAAGTTAGCCACACCATGAATTTATACATTTTGATTCTAGACAGAAAATTGATTGGGTTGTAAATTTCACAAGGAAAGTGTGAATGGAAGCCAGGTGTAGCGACACAGGCACACACATTAATCTCAGTATTTGGGAAATAGATGTAGGAAGGTGAAGAGATCAAGGTCACTTTTGGCTACCCAGTGAGTTCAAGGCCATCCTGGGCTACATGAGGCCCTAATTTTTAATGGAGAAGTAATTGGAGAGTACATCAATGAAATCCTTTTCAGTCTCCAAGTCTCCATTGCTGAATTGGAAGACCTCCATTAAAGTACACCTCCCCTAATCCCAACATCTCAGAACCCTGCCTTTCGATCATTAGAGACATGAGGTTCTCCTCGAGGTTTACCTGGCTGTCACCCTAGCCATTGGGGTTCATCTCTGGGCTGCTGTAATGCAATACCTCTGGGATGATGCTATATTTCGAGATACGAAGTGAAAATATTTGCTATCTGAACTAGTTCTCTGGAGGCCCAGTGACACTGATGATAAGCAAAAGGATCGGCTTTATATATAATCTGGTTATAGCTCCCTAAATCACTGGGTATTAAGGCTGTTTACTTTTCTTTCTTGCTCTCTTCCCTCCTCCTTCCTTTTCTCTCTTTGCTGCAATCTGATAGCAAAAGAACACATTGCAAGTCTGCCACTGGTAGGAAAAGATAGCCCTTTTTAGATAAGGCAGACATTTTATCTGGACTCACATCTAACGGAAAGCATTTTTTCTTACTATTGTTTACACCCATCACTCTGATAGTGTGGAATGCTTCCTTGTGAGACAAGCCGGCCTTGCTCTGATTTAAAACTGTCTCCCTGAAGTGTTTTCAAAATCCTTATCTTAAATGGAAAAAGGGCATGCTAGTATATGCCTCTACCTTCATAGGTAAGAATCTTTGTGTCCCTTTCCAGAGAACAGATGGATTGCTGGCTGGCTGGCTGGAATGTATTTGAATATATGGATGCATGTAGTCTTGGCTGTCTTGTAGACTGAAGGAGGAAGAATAATTAGGGGAGTCAGATTTGATTACACATTCCAAGCTTTCTGTCTACCAGCTAGCTCTATAATCTTGGCCATGAGTTAATTATAATTACCACTTATTAATATACAAAGTTAAATTTAATGAAAAATAGTGCTGCACACAGACAGAAATAAAGCAAGATAAATGTATTTATATTCTTAAAAGAGCAGTAGGCTCAATCATGAAGTTCTCAGGAAAAATAGTTTTGTATGTTGGTAGTAGATAAGATTCATCAATATCCTCATATGCATTATCGAACAATATCTAAAAACATTCAGATATGCTGAGTATGGTGGTATATGCCTGTAATGCCAATACTCAGAAGTTTGAAGCAGGTGAATTGAGCGTTACAGGCCAGCCTAAGCTACAGAGTAAGAACTACTGAGAAACACCAAGAGTGAGGAAGCTAGGGGAGGTAGCACATTCTTCTAAGCCCAGCACTTGAGAAACTGAGGCAAGAGGATTGCCAGGAGTCTGAGGCTAACCTGGGTTATATAATAAGGCCTTCTCTTAGGAAAAAAAGGATGATCAGTGGTGGTTCATGCCTTTAATCCCAGCACTTGGCAGGCAGGGCCAGGCAGATCTCTGTGAGTTCAAGGCCAGCCTGGTCTTCAAGAGTTTCAGGACAGCCAGGGCCACACAGAGAAACCCTGTCTCAAAAAACCAAGTACTCAAGAAATAATTGTTCTGGTTTGGGAGTTCTGGTGATTTGATCACTACAGCAGTTCTCCATCTTATATTGTAAAATGTATATGTTCTGAAGAAAACCTTGTAAAGACTCATGAAACCACTTGGTTTAAGAGATAAGACATCGGCAGGATCCTGGAAAGTGTCCATATGCCTTTTCTCCATCAGGACCATACTTTATCACAACTCCTGTGTGGTTTGAGTGAGGTGTCCCCCATAGTATCAGCAATTCAAACGGTCTATAGTTGGTGGCAGTTTGGACACGCCTTGCTGGAGGAGGTACATCTCTGGGGGCAGACTTTGAGCTTTCAAAGTCTTCTACCATCCCCAGATCACTCTCTCTGTTGCCTGCTTGAGGTTTGAGGAGTGAACTCTCAGCTTCCAGATTCCAGCTCCAGCCACTTTGTCTGTCACCTGGTGTCCTTGCAGGGCTCTAACCCTCTGGAACCATAATAAGCCTCATATAAACTTTCTCTTCTATAAAGGTTGCCTTGGTCATAGTGTTCTCTCACAGCAATATAAAAGTAACTAATTCAGCCCCAAGCTACTATCTTGAGTTCTATTTTGTCTCTCCTTATAATTTTACCGTGCATATTACTGTAAACGGTATCATCTAGTTTGGCCTAAATCTTAAAACTTAGATTGAATTGTAGTGTATTTCTGCAATCCGGTTGCTTCTTTTAAACTCAGTATCAACATGTAAGTGAAGTTTGTTCATTTTTATTAGCACATAGTATCTCATTGTGTGAGTGTTCCACAGGCTCTATCCTATACCAGTGAATGCTTAGGTTGGCTCTAGTTTGGAAATATCGTGAATGGCCAGTGTTTTTGCATGTGACAGTGTTTGCCCATTTTCCTACCAAGTTATTTGCTTTTCCTACTGCTTTAGGTGTGTTTTCCTTACTAACTCTAGGTATATTTTAGATACAAGTTTTTTTCTTACCTGTGCATTGTAAGCACTCTCTCCTACTATGTAACTTGCCTGTTTGCCCTTTTAGTTATGTTTTTAAATGACTTAAAACTTCTTAATCTTAGAGCAGTAGAAATTAGCAATCTTTTCATATATATTTAGTGTTTCTCTGAGTTTTCTTTATTTTTATCCCTGTGTCATAAGGATGTTCTCCTATTTTATGTTCTGAATGCTGCATTGTTTTTCTTTTCAGATTTATTTTTTCATGTCACCTGGAATTGAATTTTGTGTATGATGTAAATGATGGTCCATTTCCATTTTCCTGTACAGATAGCCATTATAGCATTTATAGCATTTGTAGAGAATGCTATTTCTGCATTTAAAAACCTCCCGTGGCCCTCTTTTAAGATGCTACATTTGTCATAAGTCAAGAATCTATGCCTGGGTCTGTTCCTGAGCTTTCTATTCTGTTCCATGGATCTATTTATCCCTGTGTTAGTACACACTGTTTTAATCACTATGGCTTTGTAATAAGTTCTGATGCTTGATAGACCAAGTCCTCCCACATCCTTGTTCCTCAGATGTGTCTTGGCTCTCAACCCATTGCATTTCTGTATTGCATCTAGAAAGCAGCTTGCCAAGTTTCCCCTCAAACAAATTAACCAATAAAATAACTCATTGGGTTGTATTGAGACTCACCAAATGTTGACAGTTCTTTTTAAAATTGATTTTTTTCTTTGAGAATGTTATATCTGAGTACTGTATTTGCATCATTTTCACCTCTCGCTTTCTCCCTCCAACTCCTCCTGTGTCCCCCCTCCACCTTCTCCTCCTCCTCCTCAAATCATTGATCACGTCTTCTATTGACCTCTAATTAAACATGTGTGGTACCATATATTATGAGGCTGACAAACTCTTGCTCTAAATTGAGCACTCTTGGGAAGTCAAAAGAAACTGATCAAGATTTGTCTCCCTTTTCTCTGTGCTCGTCATCTTGTTAAATGCGAGCTGGACTTCTTAATAGTCAACACCAACTGACCCCTCCCCCCACACTCCTGGTCCTGTTTGAGGTGAGCCTCTCTTTACACAAGTAAATCTATGCATCTCTGAATGTGCAGAACAGTTTTCATTAAGGGCCCTGGGACTGATTTAAAAACATCCTTCCTCCTCAAAGCAATTAGAATGAGATCTATTGGAAATATGGTACACCTGAGCATAATTTTATATGGGAAAATGTAGGTAGATATACAAACACACACACACACACATATTTTATGTATCTGATAGGAGCGAGTTTTACTTATTACCACACAAAACACAATCACATGTTTGTTGCAGTTGAAAGAACCTTCAGGCACCAGATGTCACTTAAATAAAGAAAAGATGAAAAGTTAGCAAACAAACTGAATTTTTCCTTGCAGTAATATGATGTACGGGGTCTTATATGTGTGTGTATGCATGTGTGTATCTCTCCATGTGTATCTGTGTGCTTGCAACATACTCAAGCAAACAGGTTGGCTAAATATTTTTTAATAATGGAATCTGTTCAGACACTCTGATCACTAATCTGAATTTTTCTTGGACTCAACAGGAAAACGTTAGGACTAACATTACAAAATGATTTAGTTATGCCCTAAATCTGAACCTTTGCATCTTTCTATGTATAGTTCAGGCATGAAAAGGAAAATGCTTTCCTGAGGTGTAACAGTACCAGCGATGAAAAACAAAAAGAGTACCCCTCCTATAGGTTTGGACAAATAGTTCTGTGAAACCTTAACCATGAATGCCCCCATCTTTTTTTTCATCTTATTACAATGTTCTCCTGTTTCATTTCCTAAATTTCAGATTATTCTATGAGCCAGTCACAACACCTTGTGGGCACACCTTTTGCTTGAAATGTCTTGAGAGATGCCTAGATCATAATGCAAAGTGTCCACTGTGCAAAGACGTTCTTTTACAGGTAAATCGCTCTTTCTACCTTGGTTGTGTTAGCTTATTTTGTATTAACTGAGTGCTACAACTGGATCCTAAGTCATTGTACTGTGCTTGACCAAAATACACCTCTTTACCATCTTTTTATTTCTGCTGTCTCCTAGACATCCTTCCTCTCTCGACAAAGTCCTTCAGGAAAATGAGGCAACATCTAGTTTTTCAATAACTGTCAGTAATGAAGTTCATTTGTGTTAGAAGAAAAACCACGAAATAGATGATAAACACAAATCTTGGTTCTGGTCCCATTGTGGCACTGTTTAAACAATAATCTTAAGTGAATTTTATTTCCACTATCCTTGAACTAGATATCTCTGATTTCTGCGCACGATTATGTTTATTTTTGCTTAAAGAGGTCAGCTGCTTAAGGTCCAGCCACCACTCCCTCAAAGAAGCCTCTCATGTCGTCAGTGTGGTCTTTCTCCAACTCCTCAGTAGCCACTGTTCTTATTGACACTTGGCAGCTTGTAAAGCTCCGAGGACTTCAAATTCTTTAAAATTAACTACACAAGCTTATATCTTCAAGTGGGCCTTATGGGATTTCCTGTGACAAAAGAAAGGAATCTGTCTTGCTTTCTTTCTTCAGAGACTTGGGGATCTCAGCTTAAAAACAGCATTAATATTGCTTATCATCTTGATGAGATCTTGCAGGTGCCAGGTTATCTCTAGAGAATGGTAATGCATGCTGGTAGTTCCAGGATTTGGGAAACCGAGATAGAAGCATTGTGAGTTCAATGTCTATCTGAGACACACAGGAAGACCTTGTCTCAGGAATAAAAGGAACATAGGTTCCTGTAGGTCCAGAGAAGTGTATGTTGAGCCTGCCTTAACTCTGACATTGACAATAAGGAGCTAGAATGAACCCATCATCCAGGGTAGCCTTGGGAATGTGTATCAGGATTTGAAAAGTGCTAAAGTGATAGCTTCCCTTAGATAAAGAGGTGGGATTTGCAACCTGATTGTAGATAAGAATTCCATGGTTGTTCTATTTAAGTAAGATATCCATGCCGTGTTAACACTACAAAGTTCACACCAAGAGAAGGAAAAAAATCTACTATATGCTCAGCCTCTAGAGAAAAGCACTGTTACCATTTTAGTGTGCCCACTTCCTGGAGTTTTGTTTTAGCATCCACATAGGGATCATTTTCTTCCTTAGATTAGCTACCTTTTGAGTCACCGCTTTCTCCTAAAGCCTGGAACTAGACATTGTGGTTTTTTTCCCTGTTCCCAGGCAATGACAGTAGCTGATAGGGCATCCAGTAGGCAGAAGCTATGGGATCTCAGACTCAGAGGCTAGAAGATATTCTCTTCTATCTCTGTATTCCATACTTACACCATTTAACAAAGCAATGCAAATTCGAATCATGTTCGTTGCAAATAGAGACTCCTGGGGAAGAAACAAAATTGTCTGAAGCCAGCAATTTGGTACTCAGGAGCTCCCTCTGCTGAGTCCCACAGCAATCACTTTTCTGTAGATACTTATTTTTTATTTATTATTATTTGAGAATTTCATAAGGGTGCTGTATTTAATTTTTCCCTCTCACTTTCCATCCAACCCAGCTTGCATTTCCCCTAGTCCCTCTCTTATTCTCTAATTATTGTTTCATATATGTGTGCATATAAATATACATCCTGAGTCCATTTATTGTTGCTCATATGCATACGTTGTTAGGGCTGACCACCGATGTTGGATAACCAATTAGGGGGCTTCTCCCTGGGGAAGACTGATTCTTCCTCTCCCAACAGTCATTAGTTGTCTATAACTCTTCATCTAGGAGTAGTGTCTTATGGGATTTCCTCTAAACACTATGACAAGTTTTCTGGTGTTGCCATTTGTTCAGGTCTTTGTTCAGAGAACTGTATAGTTCAGCATTCATGGGTACATCTTTCCTGTCTCATAGAGAAGGAAGCAACACATATCCTGGTCCTCTGGCTCTTACAACCTTTCTTCCCCCCTCTTCTGCGATGTCCTAAGCATTACATGTAGGGGTTGTATTGTAGTCATATCACTGGAGGATGAACATCCCGTGGGGAATTGTTCTCTGCATTGTGACCAGTTGTGACTTTCTGTACAAGTTTCTGCCTGCTACAAAGAGAAACATTTTTGGTGAGAGGTGAGAACAGTGCTTATCTGTGAATATACAAATAAGCATTTAGAATACAGTTATAAGTATATTGTGCTGCTTTAGGAAAGTGGAGACGATAGGTTCTCCTCTAGTTTCTAGATATTTTAACAGTCATTGTTTAGTTCGTATTATTAAATACACACTACTTATAGCTCTCCAGATATACATATGGTAGGGACATTTAGGAAGGACAAACTAGTGATATTTTAGCCAATGTCTGATTCTGAATTTAGTGATACCTAGATGGTATCATAAATTGGCAACTAGACAATCGCCTGTATTTGACTGTTAGTGTATTTCTGGATTTTATTTTAACTACAGTTAAGATGTAGAGACATGGAAATATCTAGAAGCCAGGCATTCGATTGGAGTGGAGGTAGGGCAGTGCAGGAAATGATACACGAACATAGCCTTTTGGCTCTCTGAATACGTTGACTAGAGGCTTTCAGCACTTCCCAAATAGAGCTTGTAAACACAACAATAAAGTGAACAGGAAGTATTATCCGCCCCTCTTTAGTTCAGATGTGAATATCTCAAATCCAAACCTGTAGGTCATCTGTGAGTTTTTCAAAGGTTAAATGTAATATTGTCCTTTGTTAAAATATTTTTAGTTATAAATGTTCAATTGCATATTTTTAAGAAAATCTAAGCTCTAACATCCAAAAGATACATATTTGTGGCTGATTTAGCTTCCAAATTGTGGGCCCAAATTACAACACATGAGTGATTTGACTACTATCTGGGCTGTATCAGACTATGTCTGGGATACACAATTCTCTGTGTTTTTCTGTGGACTGTATAATATTTCACTACGTTGTTCTGTTTCTAGTGCTTGCCATCAAGAAAGTATAGCAAAAATGTAATAATGGAAGAACTAATAGCTAAATTCCTGCCAGAAGAATTCAAGGAACGAAGGAGGCTTTATGAAGAGGAAATGGAAGAACTTTCTAAGTATGTACATGAGTGTTTCTATTTTCCATTTCATGCACATCAGTTCATGAAAACTGACACATTTCTTACCAGCTCCTTGTTCAATGATATCATGTTAGTAGTCTGAAATGGCTGTGGTGAGAATATTTACATCATGGAAGCCAACAAATGCTACATATTGCCCCCCATCCCTCTCAGAAGTAGTTGTTAAACATTTACCAGTGTGTCTTTGAAGAAGTGCATCAGCCAAACTACAGAGCCTCCTGATGCATCTCAGCACTAGTAAGTGCATGTTATGGGCAGGAGTGAGTTAAGAAATAGCTTAGTCCTTATGAGACAACTGGAAGATGCCTTCAAGCAGGTGATGGGTGCTTAAACAATGGTGTGAGCCACACCTGAGGTTAAGAGCCAGTTTTATCATTGAGTATGTTTCGTGATCATGGACATGCCATTTAACCTTTCTGTGATTCAGTTTCCTTGCCAATGATTTGAAGATGATAATAGCTCTTACATTATGTACTTGTTCCAAAGACCCAAATGCGTTGGTGCACAGCAAGCACTTAATAAATGGCAATAGTGTCTGTACTCACTGTGTATTTCAGACGTGAAGGGTCTGGATAGAGATGTAATTGGATCTTCAAGAGCTCTGACTGTTGTGCACTTAGCAGAAAAAAACAGGAAATAATTAAGTCCCGCACTTCTGACTACTGCCCACCTCTTTGCCTCCCCTGAAGGCTTCTCACAGCGTTCTGAAGGTGAACTGCTTCCTGAGGGAAAAATCATTTCTGTTTATATGCCCTCTGGGAAGAGACCATTTCTGAACTGTGCACCCTGTTGGTGTGGATGTGCCTTCACTTGACATGTTTTCCCCCGGAGACTAGACTTGTTGGTTTCTCATTGATTTTTCATACTGAAATTACCCTGTGCAGTTTTATCTCTTTCCTGATTCTTCACTTACTCTTTAACACAATAGTTCTCAACCTTCCTCATGTTGTAACCTTTTAATATAGTTCTTCATGTTGTGGTGACCCCCAACTATAAAATCATTTTGTTGCTATTTCATAACTGCAATCTTGCTACTGTGATGAATTATAGTGTAAATATCTGATATGCACACTATCTGATATGCAACCTCTGTGAAAGGGTTGTTTGACCCCCAAACGGGTCATGAATGACAGGTTGAGAATGGCTGCCTTCTCTCTGAGCCATTTTCTCAGCTATCGCTTAAGGTTACATTCGTCAAGAGTGAGACGTACTGAGGGTCTTGCTCTTTAAAGGCTTCTCAGACCTGGCCCCTTTTAATATTTAGACAGATTGCCTTACATTTCTTGGCCCATTTGGGTGCAGTGTCCCTGCACTAGACTCCCTAGATGATACAGAGGACTGGGATCTATGAAGAGTTGGCCCAGCTGGGGATTCCCCATACAGTCATGTGCTTGAGTTTTCCAGGGTATTTATTGAAAAGCAGATTCCTGCATTGCAAACATCAGTATCTCTGAAGGTGTATTGGCCCAGTCATCTGAATTTAAGGGCCCCCCCCATTATTCTGATGCCTATGAACATTTGAGCATCACTGGGATACATTTGTCTTGGTGGTCTCTTGCTGGCTACTCCTCCTAGCTGGGTCTGTTCTAAATGGTCTCTGAGAGGCTTGGAAATTTTGAGATGCATGGAAGGACTTCAAAGGAAGTTTTACTGCCCCTCTGGAAAACTGAGTGCATTTATACCATAAGTATCCTTTTTCATGCCTCAAGCATAGTGCCTGAATTGGTCCATTTGGGCAGAAGGAGGGAGGGAGAGAGGAAGGGGGTAAAAAGGAAGGAGCAGCATACCTGTCACTCACAGTATTATGGTAATAGAAATCTAATCAACAAACTTAGAATGTGTGCAATGCCAGTTTAGGCTTTTAGACTTGGCTAGTCTCTGCATTGGATCATGGAACTTGGCCTACAGTATCAATTGCATTTCAGTGTTTTTCTATCAGCCATTAAACTTTGATGACTCCTTGACTTACTCCAAGAGAATCATATCGTGACATTTGACCAACCTATCTGTGCTCTGCCACATTGGTTTGAGATCCCTCTCATCTTCTCTTCCTGACAGCTTAAATAAGAATGTGCCTATTTTCGTGTGTACTATGGCCTATCCCACTGTTCCTTGTCCCCTGCACATCTTTGAGCCTTGTTACCGCCTAATGATTCGGAGATGTATTGAGACAGGCACAAAACAGTTTGGGATGTGCCTTGGAGATCCTGTCAAAGGGTAAGTGAGGAGACCTGGGGAACAGGGGAACAGGTAGAGAGGGATTTCTGTTTTACTTTGGAGGGATTTTAGAGGTGGCGTCAACAAGTCCATGAGGTTAGCCAGCTCAGAACATCAAAACATCTGTGACTATCACAGTCCCTCTGGTGTCTACTTTACAGTATGACAGGCTCTTTATTTAAAATAACTCTAGAGGTAATCTTTCATTAAGCAGGTGGCATACATTATAAAACTTGTCTTGTGAACTAGGGCTATAGTTCAGCCTACCTACCAGTCACAGAGCCTCAGGATCGATCCTCAGCACTACATAAATCTGAGTCATGTCGCACATCTGCAATCCCAATAGTGGAGAAGTAGAGGCAAGAGAATACAAAGTTTAAGGTCATCCTTTACTGCATATGAAGTCCAAGGACAGCCTGGAATATTTGAGAGCCTGTTTTAAAAACAAACAAAAGCCAGAAACAAAGAAAATTGTCTTGTTAAGAGTGTTAGCCCTAGAGCTAAATTAGCCACTTTTATATTTGAGTGCTGGCCTTGGAGCACATTTGATGTTGGGCAAATAATTTAGCCTTTCTATCTTCAGTTTTTTTGTCTGTTAAGAGGGCATGAGGATATGCCTACCTAACTGGTCTTATTTATTCGGAGAACTGATGTTACTGATGCCTCTCCAAGCACTAAATATGATTCCTGTCTGAATGAGTCCATTTGGGATACTGTAACATATGCTATATAGTAAGTAATGTATAAGCAATCGATTTTTTAGACAGGGTTTCATATTGTAGCCTAAGTTGACCTGAAAGTTACTGTATATCCCAGACTGACCTCAAACTCATGGAAATCCTGCTTCAGGATTGCAGGTGTGGGCTGCCACAGGCAATAGAAATTTATGCCTATGATTATTGAAACTGTGAAGTTTACAGCCAATTTGCTAGCATCTGATAATAGTTGTTTTTTTTCTGAATTTAGACCCTTGTACATGCTAGGGAGGTGTCTTAGTTAGGTTCTCTATTACTGTAAAGGGACACCATGACAACAACAATGCTTATAAAGGAAGAGATTTAATTAGGGTAGCTTGCTTACAGTTGGAGGTTTAGTCTATTGTGGCCATGGTAGGAAATGGGAGCATTCAGACAGACATCTTGATCAGAAGGCAACAGGAAGTGAACTGAGATACTGGGTATGGCTTGAGCATGTATGAGACATCAAAGCTGGCCTCCACAGTGACTTTCAACAAGACCACACCTACTCCAACAAGGCCACACTTCCAAATAGTGACATGCCCTATGAGCTTGTTTGATTTTATTTTGAAACCAGGTAGGAATACATTGCTGAAGCAAGCCTCAAATTGGTGATTGACCTGTGAACAGCCTCCTTTGTAGCTAGGACTATCATTGTTTGCAATAATGTTCAGGATGTGATAAGGCCTAATTGTGTTATAACATGGTAAAAAGGCAAAGGAAAAGTGAGAGAAGGGAAGTCCAACTCTCCTCTTAATAATGAACACAGTCTTGTAGTAATTAATCCATTCACATAGGCAGAGCCTTTATGACCTGATAACTACTTAAAGGTCTTGCCTCATAACCGTGCTAAAATGGCAATTAAATTTCAACACAAGCTTTGAGAAGGACAAACTTTTAAACCATAGCACTGCACATAGTATGTGCTCAACAAATGGTAGCAAGTATAGCATTATGTTCAGATTTTTTTTCATATATCTGCCTGTTGTACAGCTACAGTTGTAGATCAGGTCACAGAAGTTCTACAGAAAACAGCACAAGGTGCTAGGAATGGTTGGGGTCTAGACCAAAAACAATAGAACTCATCAACAATGTACTCTCTGGACTTGATTCTCAATAAACAGGTTTGCAGAATATGGCTGCATCTTAGAGATCAGAAATGTCCAATTCTTTGCTGATGGCCGATCAGTGGTTGACAGTATAGGCAAAAGACGCTTCAAGGTGCTGCATCAGGGCCAGAGGGATGGCTATAACACAGCTGACATAGAATATATTGAAGATCAAAAGGTAAGTGTGACCAGTACCAAGAAACCTAAAAGTCAAATTATCACTGTAGCTTGGTATACAAAGATAATTGCAAAGAGTTTCTCAGAATTGCCTTGCGGCCTTGGGATTTCTTACCAAATTGCTACTGGATGAATGCTTCTGGATGAATGCTACTGGACTGCTGCCCAATTGCATCCATAGCCTTCCTTCTCCCTCCTTTCCCTCTCCCCTTCTCCCTGCTTAGCTGCTGAATTGTAGTTGTATTTAATGCTTGTGGAGCGTAATCCCTGGGCCCATTCAGCCTGAGTTAGGTCTCTGCAAGGGACACCAAGGGATCAATTTAGATTGGGGTCTACACATAAGTATTTTAACTAAGGATTGATTTATATTTTCCAATGCATTTCTTTTGAGATTATTATAGATTCAAGTATAAGTTTGCATTTTTTAAATGTGTAACCTGTCCAAGAACACTATTCCTAAATAAAAGTCATTCACCATCCTCCAAAGGAAAAAAAAAAGGTCACATGTCCAATTACTTCTTGGTTTTCTTTTTTTTTTTTTTGGTTTTTTAATATTCTTTTTTATTTATTTTTCAGTTTAAATTTAGATTAGAAACAAGGTTGCTTCACAAGTCAATTCCAGGTCCCTCTCCCTTTCCCTCCCCTCCTCCCGTCCCCTCCCCCCAGCCCCCCCATTATCCCCTCATTTCCCCAGGGAGGGTGAGGCCCTCCATGGGGGTGTCCATAGTCTGTCATTTCATCCAGGGCAGGGCCTAGACCCTCCCCCAAGAGTTCAGGGTGAGAGTGCATCTCACATTGTTGGATGGGAGTCCAAAGTCCGTGTGTATACTCGGGATGAGTACTGATCTACTGCCCAAGGCTCAATAGATTACCTAGGCCTCCTCACTGACACCCACATTCAGGGGGGTCTTGGTCAGGTTTTCTGAGCTAATGGGTAAATGAAGATGTCAATAACCCCATGCACATTTATATTATTTATGTAGCAGATAATACACGATTAATGGATAAATTCATTTGACCTTGAAGATATACTGAAGCACAGATATATTCATAGTTACCTTCCCAGTGAGTAAGAAAGAAGAGTGTGTGAAAATGAAAGGGACAAAAACATAAACCGGCACGATGCACTTTACTCGTATGCCATCACCTGGGCTAGCTCCAGCTTCTGGCTGTCTCTGTGCTTGCTGTTTTCCTCAGTTAAACCTTTTGTCTTCCTGCTCTCTCTGCCATATTTGTACCCCATCCAGCTTTGACTGCTGTGTGTTCCTTATCTTACATGGTAGAAAGCCAGATGGATGATGAAAAAGCAGATCAGATTCTCAAGAGGACAAATCTGAGGTGGGTGGTGAAGGTAGAGACAGATTCACTTTCATTTTGATATTTTCAGGTTCAGGGAGAAGATTGTGCTGAACTCATGGGGTTACATAACTGTGTGTATGAGCAAGCATCCTCATGGTTTCATTCACTCAAAACATCTCTGAAGACTCGGATACTTAATCATTTCGGTCCAATGCCAGAGAAAGATGAAGATCCCCAGGTACATAAGAATATGTTTTTAGAACAGGTTGCCATACAAGGTGGGAGAGTCCAGGCTTTGTGATTAGATGGGTGTGTGGTTGTCATCCAGAAAGTCAACTGCAGAGAAGAGGAGAGATCCAATACAGTATTGTGTAGCTAGGTAGTGAGCATCATGGACCAAAAGGATCCCAACTCAGTTGGCTTAACAGAAGTAAGTAGTAGGAACTTGGAACTAAGACAAACACTGGGAAATAAGTGAAGTGAGAGAAAGGGAGCACCAACACCACTAACAGGAGAACCTTCATTGGGAGTCCAAACCCACGCAATGGTAATTTTAGGCTGACGGGACACACGCAAAGGCCAGGGTACTAGTAAGAGAGATGATAACTAATGCTACTACTTCCAGCCGGCTTCATTTCCTCTTCTCCAATCCTGCAGGATCTAGGAGTTAGGATACATACACTTCAAGAATCCAACTGCAGAAACCTTCATATCCAACCCATCTATGCATAGCCCTGCAAATCTAGACCCTTGCTATTGTTCCTAACTTGAACAGCTCCTGAGAAAACTGGCCCCCAGGACATAGTTCATTAGGTTCCACTGCATTGCTCTTCTTTCTTGAGGAATAGATCTCTGTGAGCTCAAGCTGAAGATCCAGAGCCACTAAGAAAGTGGGGAGAGTTGGGATTCACCACGCTTAGTCTGCCTTGTCTCAATTATGCAGTTTGTGGGGAATCACAGTTTGGAGAACAGACAGCCTAAGGAGATCTATTCTCTTAATGCTACCTCTCCCCATATTCTAAGGTAGTTGTCCCACAGAACAACTCCTGAAACTTCTTTGATTTCTTTTTTAATGTATGCTTCATGATTCTATCACAGTAGGAGAACCTGGATATATATATTCTGACCTCTCTGTCTAAAGATTGTTTTGCCTACCTTTCTGGCAGTATGACATTGGATAAATCCCTTTCCCTCTCTCAACTTTTCTCGAAAATCAGACAGGATCATTGAGACTCTAAAGGTCCTCCTCCTCTATTCTAAAATGCCCATCTGTTTCCTAATGTCTTCAAGTGTCTTACTCCCTCAAACCCACAGTGTGGCTCTTCTCCCTCCATGTTCTAAAGAGAGCAAGGACAGCAAGTGCTTCCTGGTAACACAGATCTTGGCTATGGTGATTCAAGAAGACAGCATAACTTGGAACAAGGTCATGTTCAAGCTTAATGTTCCCCTTCACCTGCTGGGGAACATTCTCTCCCAGTCAGGCAAAAGATAGAGATCAACAGTGCTAACCACATTTTCCACAGGAGAAAACACAGATGCCTCAGTGTGATTCATAAGGCCTTAATGACATAGCAAGCCCCAAATCATTTCCTTTCTTATTAGCTTTGTTATCATGTTGCCTTGGTGGTGGCGGCAGCAGCAAAAACTCATCCAGTTTGCTATATCTAATCCTGCAGCCCTAAGCAGTTCCACGAATAAGAATGTTGTACCTTGGTGGGAGGTTTCTTAGAAACAGCCACAGTATTAACATTAGCTTAAGTATCTGCTGGTGATCCTGGGAAAGAAAGTTCAGAATAGCAACCTGGTATCCAGAAGTGATTGTAAGAGAAAATGAATTACACACTACAGTGAGGTACACACACACACACACACACACACACACACACACACACACACATACACAAACCCACACGCAAGAGAGAGAGACAGAGAGACAGAGAGAGAGAGAGGCAGGCAAACAGACAGACCAGAGACAGAGAAGGGCTGTTCAGACGAGGCTAGAGGCACAGAAAAAGCAAGTTGCTTAGGGACATTCAGGAGAACACACGAAACAGACCAGCGTGTGCTTTTCTGTAAACGGAAAGCTGACTCGTTTTGAAAGTTGTGGGAAGAAAACTCATTTGAGGTTTAGTAATAAACATCCAAAGTGTGTGCTCAGGAAGCTTATGACAAAGAGAATGTCCGTGAAGGATTGGTAAGGGATGATAAATGTCTTTATTAAAGGAAAACCCGAGGGTTGACAGGACTATGTTTTTCTAATTGGAATGGTTGGTTGTTGTTCTTTGAGACGGGAAATCATAGCTCTTGGTTTCAGGGGAGAAGGTAGCGGTGGCTCTGTTTCTGCCATGGTGTATTTAAATTACAGCTTTCCACCAAAGTTAAAAGACATGCCAAGCCCAAAGAGTCGTAGGGTTAAAGTCAGGAATTTTATTTTATTTTTTATTCATTTTACATACCAACCACACTTCCCTCTCCCTTCCCTCCTCCTGCTTCCTCCCCAGTTCCCCCCAACCCGCTCATCCACTCCTCAGAAAGGGTAAGGCCTCTCATGGGGAGTCAGTTTTAAACGGATCAGTCGAAAGGACCTAACCAGAGCCTTAGAAGTGAAAGAGACAAAATAGTGGCTACTCCAACTTGTAAAACCACACTACCTAGGGAGCATAGTGTGTGTTAGGATGTTGGTCGCTTGGTTTAACAACTACTAAAGATGATTCTGCCTCAAAAGAGAGAGAAGGCCCCAGTCCTGGAGGACTAAGGCAGTTCTATTCCAAGAGAACATTCAGGAACCCAGGCTCTTCTATCACAGAGCTCTGCTGTCTTCAGAGAGTTCCTTTACCCTGACTGAAGACTGATCATCACCTTGTCTTCAATCTTACTAGACAGAGGGGGAGGGGCTGGAGACATTGCTCCAAGTTTAAGAGCCCTGGCTGCTCATCCAGAGGACCCAGGTTCAATACCAGCATCCACATAGTGGTTCGCAACTACCAATTCAAGGGAATCTGGCCTTGTGGTGCACAGACATACATGCAGACAAATCACCATACACATAAAATAATAAAATTTTAAAGAGAAAAGAAATGGGAAAAAAGGGGAGGCAGAGGCTGCTTGCTCTTTTCCCAGAACATGGCTCAAAAGTTACACATATCACTCTTTATAACTCTTTAGCCAAAATCCAGTCTGTGAATTACCTGGCCACAAGGGAGACTAGGAAATAATAGTGTCTCCAACCTGCTGCCACCATGTGGCTGTATGCTCATCTGAACTAAAAAATCCAGTGTGTGAATTACCTGGCCACAAGGGAGACTAGGAAATAATAGTGTCTCCGACCTGCTGCCGCCATGTGGCTGTATGCTCATCTGAACTAAAAGAAGAAAAAAGATGAGACGGAGGCTCTCGGCAGTCTCTGGCACGCACAGAAGCGGTTCCATGTAGGGTGTTTACTTTATGCATGTGGACATCTGTACTTCGACTGCACAGGAATAGGATCAGTGAACTGTGTTTCTCTGTTGCAGGTTAATCCGAATGGCCCAGCCTGGTGCTGGTGGACATTAGCGGTTCTTCCCCTGGAAAGCAGAGCTCAGCTCCCCTTCCTAGCAATGAGGTCCTTAAAGGATAGACTCAATGGTATTCGGCGAATCCTGGCCTTTATATCCAGAAACCAAAATTAGGGGGAGCAGACTGTGGCAGAGGCATTTCCACCCTCTCCACTGCTCCAGGGTGATGTTCTTGTAAATATGTCTAATTGCAATAACACCTTAACAGAAAAGAGTATATCCTAGAGAGATGGTACTCTGCTTTTTGACCACACAGAACTGAGTAGGAAGACCAAAAGGAGGGGAGCTGATTGACTTTCTGTCTTCAAATGCTTTTTGACACAAACAGCCAGAGGTGTGGAAGAGTCCAGAAAAAGTTGTTTAGCATCATTTTTTCTGAAAGTCGAGCATGACTTATCTGCCATAGCTGAGTGACTGTGTGGTTGAACTGTGAAGCAGAGACACAGATGTCACTGCACCCATCCACTGACATGACGTCCCATTTCAAATGGTTCAGGTTTTATAGAGCATTGTGTAAAATAATGTTCATACTTCTTTCTGTTTTAATAATTTATTTTTTGCACTACTGTATCCTTTTTCTACATGTACGTTTGTAACTATTTAAGTGTACATTACTGAAAAGTCCATTGCTTTATTTATTGACATGGTTGACTCTGTATGTAGGGTATGTAGGGGAATAACAGTACTAAATACGTGCAATGTTTTTTCTTTAATTTTTGTTGAATTAATCCCAATTCTTGGGCCATTTTTATATAGTTCATGTCTATCCTAGTGGACTAAGTTCCAAATAATTTCAGAAGGATTCTAAGGTAATTTATCTTCACAGATTCCACTCTTTCCGTTTGAATTAGGCGATAGAAAATACCTAATTGATTTGGTATAAGTTGTGACATGTGCAAGAGTAAGGTAAAAGAATTCATTTTCTGTGTGTAATACAGAAGAAGGCCGAAAGAATTATTCAAGAATGGAGAGATGATTTAGAAGTGTCTCATTACAATCTATTAGAGATACTTTTTCAAGCAGTCTGACCAGAAGTGTATTAATTTCTCCCCAGTGCAGTTAAGGATAGGATTAATATTTACCTAGTTTATCAGAGAGTGGCATCAAGACCTGTACCAGCACCTGCTGAAGTACTCGGAGGGGGGGGCTTTTCCTTATTAAAAGTGCAAGGAAATCAGATAGGTTAGAATCCACTTTTAAATCTCTATAATGGATCCCAGAGAATGAATCCATGATTTTATGTGAACACTGCCTTCCCTCCTGGTAACAATGGGCCAAAGACTTCAATACAGGGGAGAAAAGAAAGGAGATGGGTAAGAAGGGGCAGAAGTTGTACTTCTTAGCTTGCTTAGTGTTAGTTTGAGTCCTTTGGTGTCAGAGAAACCTGGAAAACAGAGTGTGACTGTATTATAATGGCAAAGAGGAAAATCAGAACCAGGAAAAGGGAATTAAGTGAATTGTCACATTTATTTCTTATGCAAACTACTCCCAGGCGATTTTGGACAGCTATGGTGTGTTACTCAAGTGTTACCCCCTCACTCTGTTCCACACTCTGTTAACAGGAGAGAGAGAGAGAGAGAGAGAGAGAGAGAGAGAGAGAGAGAGAGAGAGAGAGAGAGAGAGAGAGAGAGAGAGAGAGAGAGAGAGAGAGAGATTCAGATTCAGGGATCAGTCTGGGTTCCTCTGTGACCACCGGAAACATGAAAGAGGTGGGGCTTGTGTGTGTGAGAGGCGATCTCCAGAGGCTGTAAAAGAGACTCACGTGAACAGAAAGCAAGCAATAATCTACCCTTGCTTATGTAGGCTGTGTTGTCAGAGCATTGCCAGCTTGGATGTTTGGAATAATCTGGGCAGGTGAAGAATGCAAGTGTATAGAATGGAAATCCAGGAGTGGGTACTACCTGAGTTAGGTCTAGAGGGCTCAGAGGGCAGGAAATGAAGATATTTCCCCTCTCACCTGACAGCCGACCATATGATCATGGCAGAGTTCTAGTGTTATCAGTCATGTTGTAGAATATCATCAATGGTCTACAGTTACATGAAGCACTCACTGCCTTTACTTGCAGTCCTCGCTCGCATCCACTTTAAGCTTGATTGGGATAATCCAAAGCACTGATTCTTGGATTACAACTTGACAGTTCTCAAGTAACTCCTATTGGGGTTAAAACTAGGAAAGTAGGACTGAGGATACAGCTCAGTTGCTAGTGTTTACCTTACGTGCATGGGCCACTGGGTTATATCTCCAGTACCATAAAATATACGAAATGTAAAGAAAATGAAAGGATTGGAGAACAAATGGGTGTTACAGGTAGGGGCTAATTCCTACACCAAGAAAATAGTTTCCATTGTAATAAGGGCTAAAAGGTAATGCTGTATTGGGGGGATCTAGAATTACTGACAGAATGGAAGCCTTAAGTTTGGCATAACCAAGCCATCTCTCCCTGTTTTTCAAAAGGTGTTGAGAATTTCAACTATACCAGAATAATTGGATTACACCATCTATGGGCTTTGTACATAGCTAATGGTATTTCTTTGTGCTGCCCCAAATAGCAGGCTCTACAATGATGTGTTGAGAACCTACCATGTACCAGGTACTAAACCGAGTGATCTCACGCACGTGAACACATGAAATAACCTTTTAGACAGCATTGTTAACCCTGTATATGGATAAGAAAACAAAGGCTTAGCAATGTTAAGGAATATGCCTATGTAACATGTTCATCCAATGAGTAGCCAAGCTTGATTCTATAAACCTATCACGTAGAAGAACTTTCAAGATTTTTAACAGTTGTTATACATGTTTTATCCAGTAGACATGGCAGTCATATTACAAAACACCCAAGAGCTCAAAATGAGAAGTTCCAGGTGAAGTAAAATGAAGCTGCCTAACACAGCTTTTGTTAATCTAAGGGAAAGGAGAAGTTTGGCTTCTTAATAAAATCCCATCGATAAGAGGTACCCAATCTGAGCACATGGAAATCTAGGCTGGGTTAAATAGCACATTCCTCTGAGCAGCCTGGATCCATGTTGTGGTTGTTCCCTAGCCCATTTTTGTTTCTGTAATGGCAGGAAGTGGGATAGTAGGCTATGACTTTCTTCAGGATGCACATGAATGAAAAAAATCAGTTGAACTTGCCTGTTTTTAGCACTTGCAGATTTGATTCTGCTTTTAAGCGCAGTGGCGATAAATATAGAGATAAAACCTAAGTCTCAGCCAGAAGGACAAGATTCCCCCTTGTAGACATTTTCTTGGGTTAGTCTTCCTTTCTACTGTGACATCATGGTTGACCCAGTCCTTTCCTTGTAGCGGTGTGTGTGTGTGTGTGTGTGTGTGTGTGTGTGTGTGTGTGTGTGTGTGTGTGATACACTAGGTAGCAAGCAGACCTTATGCCTTTCTGCTTTGTACCGTAGTACTGCTGCTAGCTAAAAACCAGCAAAATGTAGAAAGTGAAAAATGAAGAAACTACTTTTCAGTGGACAATTTGAAGAAAGGGGTGTTTGCTCCTTGCTTAGGGGGGCAGAGAACTATTCCAATAGCTTGCCTTTCTGAAGGCCAACTGCTTCAAGCTCAGTGCTGCCTCCCCAGCAGAGTTGACTTATGGCACGTGCGGTGCTGCCACTCTGCCTATGGAGGTGACCTGGGTTCAGATAATCCCCTGTGACTAGCCACAGAAGCCTCAGAACTCCCATGGCTGGGTTACTGCCAACAGGTCGTGTCCTGTTGATGGACTACAACCTACTGAGGCCTGCATTCCCTGTGCCAGCTCCATTTCTAGCATGTGAATTTTAGCCATAGATTCATTCCTTGGATTCCCAGCTTGTTGACTGTGTGTCCATTTCTACTCATTGTGGGCCCAAGGAATGAGGTTTTGATTCTGGGTGGAAGACAGCTCTGAAAAGCAAGCAGGGCTTGGGCTTTGCTTTCTGGCGTTTCTAATGTACAGAGAGTTGAAAGGGAAGGGAGCCACGCACAGTGTACACATTTAATTCCTTTTAGAATGGTAGCTCCCACCCACTCCACTGCTTACCTACTTAATACTCTGGATTCTACACATCCACGGGGAAAATGAAGAACTGTTCGCTTAGAAGTGGGTGTTTCCAAACATGGTAAGTTAACCTCCAGAGAGAAGTGCCTGGAACCGCCGCCATTCCTGGTGTCCTTTAAAGCTTTGGCTTCGTGACTTTGTAGCATTTTTTAAAAAAAACTGTTTGCAGCCACAAATGTGATTAACAGAAGTTTACAAAGCAACACTGTACCTTGTGCATTATCTTAGAAGTCCGCTGGCGTTCATCTATTGTTCAAGTGATGAAGACAACTAGTGAGCTAAGAAGAAGAGCAAATAGCTCTGTGTGGCACCATTGACTGATGTGAGATAAATGAGTCATTCTTGTATGCATTTCTCTGTAACGCCAGGATTAAAACATCCAGCAAGCCACTCAAACAGTGGCAAGTGTGTATGTGTGTTTGCTTTCCATTTGTTTGTTAAGCAGCCATTTTACTTTTGCACAATTATGAGTTGAAGGGATATTAAGATAACGCCCCCTCCCCCACCAACGCTATTCAACTACCTCTATGTGCCTGGTTTCCTTTTAGGGTTCCCTTCTTCTAAATCTGCACAAAATAGTTTCAGCTCATCTATGTTGTAATCGCAATGTGATATAGATAGTCTCTGTGAAAATTGTTTGTTCATTAAATGAAAGTTTCCTGTTGTCTCTGCATCTACCAAAGTGTATTCTATCCTAGAAAAACAATAAAGTAGCCCGGATGAGCCTGGCGGTACAGGACTACAGTGCCAGCTACATGGGAAGCTGGGGCAGGGGGATTTGCATGTTCATCGCCAACTTAGGGAATGTAGACTTTGTCTCAAAAACTAAAAACTAAAAAAAAACCCTAAAAACTGGTCTTACTTATGCGGGTCATTAATCCCAGCTGCTTTGGAGGCTGGTAAAGAAGGGTTAGAAGTCCAAGGCCAACCTGGACAATGCAGTGAAATTTTGTTTCAAAAATATAAAAGTAAGTAAATAAATAAATACCATAAGAAAGGATTGGAGACACAGCTCAGGCAGAACACTTCCCGAGCATACACAAGGCCCTGGCTTGCCTTCTCATTACCACAGAAATAGCAAAAAGAAAACGAAGTAGTCAACTAGTTTCTGTAGCACTGGAAAGGAAGCTATGGTAGCATGTATCCTGTTCTTTTCCTATTAGCTGCAACATGTTTTGATGACAACACCCTTTAAAGAACTGTGTATGTGACTCAGTGGTAGAGCACTTGCCTTGAATGAGCCATGCCCTGGATTCAATCTGCAGCAGTACAAAGATTAAGTTGATACAAATTTTAAAAATTCTCTAAGGAATCAGGTCTGCACCCTAGCAGCAAACATTTACATATATGACAATGAGGCAAGTATGAATAGATTAACATGACTAATATGTTTTGAAACCCTGGCTATAAATTAAGTGTTTTTTTTAACAAAACACTGGAAAGGTTTGCTTATATTTAATGATTTATTTTTATCTTTTAAAATTGTTTTGGTCTTTTTTGTTTTTTTTTCAAGACAGGGCTTCTTTATGTAAATTTGGCTTGTCCTGGAACTCTGTAGACCAGGCTTTCCTTGAGCTCACAGACATCCCTCTACCTCTGCCTCCCGAGTGCTTGGATTAAAGGCATGCACTTATTTTTGAAGCATTTCATCCTTTCTAGCTGTCTGACTTGTGCATTAATCGGGGGGTTCTTTTCTGGGCATTTCTTTTACAGTTCAATGAGTCCAAAGATGAACCTAGCATATTTTGACCATATCCATCCCCTACACCCTATCCCTCCTCAACTCCTCCTGGACATCCCTTGATATGTTTAGCTTCCAACTTTGAACCTCACCCCATTTTTTCTCTAACCCACTGAGTGAAATTAGTACTGCCTGTATGTGTGCAAATGTGGGGCCATCCACTGAGGCATGGGGAGCCTACCATGGGCCACACCTCCAAAGAAAAACAATTCTTCCACCTCCAATAGTCAGTAGCCCCTCAGCTAAGGATTGAAGCATTTTTCAATTACCTGAATGGGTAAAGGCACTTGTGGCCAAGCCTGATGACCTTAGTTCAATCACAGCAATGCACACATAAAACACACACACACACACACACACACACACACACAAATAGATATAAACAAAATGATTTCTAAATATGTGGCTGAGATTTTGAATGTTTACAACATAACAAAAAAGATAAACAGCTGGGTGGAGGTAGTGGCGCCCACCTTTAACCCCAGCACTCGGGAGGCAGAGGCAGAGGCAGAGTTCAGGCAAGCTTGGACTACAAGAGCTAGTTCCAGAACAGTCAAGGCTACACAGAGAAACTCTGTCTCTGATAGAAAAAAAGAATAGCTTAAAGGTGAAGCCAAATCATGAACCAGTTTTTGGTGCTAACCATAGAACGTAGGGTCTCACAAGCCCCAAACAAGTGCTCTACCACTGAGTTACGTCCTCAGTCCAGCACAAACTGCATGATAAAAAAATTGATAAAACTCACTGGGCCAATGTGTGATATTAACCAAACTGGCCCCAGCAAGAGAGCTTCAGCGATGTGTTCCATTTTCTCTGCCGTGCTATTTGTGTTATACAATTAATGCTTTTATGCTATTTCTATTTTACCATTGATAAAAGGACACAAGAATGAAACAAAAATGAATCTGCTAATGTAGCTCAATTGGTAGAGTGTTTGCCTAACACAAAAGAATCCCTGTGTTGGCTCATCAAAACTACATAAATTTGGTATGGTGCACCTGGGAGGTGGTGGCAGGAGGATTAGAAGTTTAGGGTAATTTTCATTCCATAATTAGTTCAAGACCAGCCTGGGATTCTTGAGACTTTTCAAAGCCACAGAGAAACCCCCCCAAGAAAAAGAAAGAAAAGGAAGGAAAGGAAGGAACAAAAAACTGACTTGAAAGACTGGCATGTAATTCAATGATAGATTGGTTGCATAGTATGGGCAAGGTCATAGGTTAAATTTCCAGTAATGAAAAAAAAAGAACTGATAATCCAGGTTCATTGTCACACACCTGTAAATGCCCTCTAGAGAGGCCTAGAAAGGATGATTTTTGAGTCAAGGCCATTTGGACAATATAATGAGAAGCCTCTCTCAAAACAATAAAAATAGAGTAGAGAATAGCATAAAATATAAAACCAAGCAAGCTGGCACACCTATAATATCAGTTACTCAAGAGGCCTGAAGTATGGTAATCATAAGTTCAAGGACAGCCTGGGTAACATGGATCCAGTCCTAAAAACAATAAAATAAAATTATGGGAAAACTCTTATCTACTTGGGCCCAAATTTGCTTGTTCTAACAAGACCTATGAAGTAATTGAGAAATATCAAAATTCTTGGCCAATTAAGCCCCAAAGGGATGGGTTGCATATGTTGAAATGTGCCATTCTGTGTCCAATCTGACACTACACTTAAGCCATAGACAAAAGCTTCCTTTCCAAGCCAGTTCTTCCACCCGGAATGGCTGCATAGATTTCTCTCTAGAGAAATGAATTGGGCCATCTTTAAAGAAAGTCAGTCCTTTTTGTAGTTGTTCCAGAAGCCTCGAGTAAATCCAAAGTTGTCAGTTTCTACTTCCTCCCCTCTGGGATCCATTCTGGCTCCTCTGAGTGTTCCAGGGCCAAATATGATTCCCTAGAAAGTTCTCCCAGTGGCAAAATGAAGACAGAGAAAATGGAGAAAAGTGCCTTAAGCTCATGAGCTCCCCAAAGTCGCAACACCACTTTCTTCCATTTGGATTTCTTCATACCCAGGAAGGGTTGAGTAAGGATAGGAAGGGAGGAACCTTATCTGTGGTCATCTTAAGGTGGATATGTATCCTAGTCAAGAAGTCTCGGCATCTCCATGCTTCCTTCTACCACTCTTCAGATTTTTTGCCTATCAATTTTCCCATTCCAAACTACAATCACACTGATTAGCCATCTTTGTTTCCTTTCCACTTATATACATGTATGTACAAGTATATGCCACTGGTGCATTGAAAAGCACTGAAAAATTTTCCTACATCTATTGAAATGCAGCCCGCTAAATTGTACCTCATTGCAAATACTACCTGCTTTGTAAGTATCAACAATGTCTAAATATTTAAAGTGTAGCAAAATTGAGTCCTCAAAATAGCTCATTTGCTCTAGACCCAATGATTCTATAAGTATTTGGCTTCTTTTGGATACTAGAGGTTTAGTATAGCTCTATTCAATAATCACAGGAAGAGGCAAGATGAATGACCCTTTGGACCACTGGGATGTCTATTCATGTTGAAAGTGTGAGTCAGGATAGACAGAGATTATCTAAATTTCATATTTAATATTTATGTACATATATAGATATACCTATATGACATGAAAGTAGGAAAACTATGAGGAAGAAAGAAGAGGTATAAAAGGAGGGGTGAACAAGAGAGCGTAACAGTAGGATGTGCTGGCTAGTTAGTTTTATGTCAACTTGACCCAAGCTAGAGAGTCATCAGAGAGGAAGGAGCCTCGTTGAGAAAATACTTCCATAAGGTCAGACTGTATGTACACCTCTAGGACATTTTCTTAATTAGTTCTTGATTTAGAGGGTCCCAGCCTATTGTGGGTTCTACAAGAATACAGCTATTGTTTAAGCCAATTAGGCATGACCATCTGTCTCTACTAAGAAGCCTGCATGGGTATGTATTAACTAATCTTACTCAATGGACCTTAACTTTCTTCATATTGACTCATCCTGAACTTTTTTCTGCTGCATAAGTCAAGGTCTAAGCCTATCTGAATGAAGGTTCCTAAGAGTGGAACCACCTGGATTACTTGAAGTTGACTCTCAGAGGTAGAGCATTTGCCTGGCATGTACAAAATCCTGGGTTCCATTTCTACTCTGCAAAACAAAATAAAATGAAACAAACAAGACCCCCCATCCAAAATCTTTCCAGAAGATGGCAGTATCCTCTTAAGTGCTTTTATTGTCATCTCAGGAGATGGTTTAACTTTCTTCCATCACCCTGTACTATTTGTAGCTGAGCAGAGAGCACCACACACGTGTGGAGCATATGTATCTTTTCTCTTAAAAAAGACTCTCGTCTCCCTCCCTCCCTTCCTCCTTCCCTCCCTCCCTCCCTCCCTCCCTCTCTCTCTCTCTCTCTCTCTCTCTCACATACACACACACACACACACACACACACGCGCACACACACACACACACACACACAGAGACACACACACATGAGACTTTGCGTATACCTTACCGGCAGTTTACAGAGCTTTCAACCAATGATCTCATTCATATAGTCTATTTAAATCTTTCTGCACACTAAAGTCCATAGTCCTTGAAAGGAAATCTTTAAGGCAAAATTGTTTGAGACAGTTCAGGTTGTATTAACCTGAGATCGCCATAATATTTCAGAGATTTTCTGGAGGTCTGGCATATCAAGATTGCATTCTAAATCTAGGTTTGTCTTTAGGTGGTCATCTATTCCAGTCTGATGAGTTTGAGTACTGCCCCCACTTTTCTGGTTTAGTCTACAAAGCATGCATGCTAGTGTTTCGTGACATTGCAGAATCCTAGCAACAATCAAACATAAAATATTCATCGAATCTTTCTGGGGCCATTCTGTATAAACAACATTGATTGTAGGTTGTTCTGCCTTTGAGAAACAACGCCACGTATATGAGCAGATATATCAGTGTGTT